CAGTTAGAGACAATAAAGATCCAAAAGCCAGAGAGGAATAACAGGAATAACTAACAAAAGCTGTAGGGTGTAAGCTGCGGATTGCGGATTGCGGGATTCCTGCCAGCGACATGCGGTGTTCAAGATGTTCGGAGCAAGGAAATTGAAAATGTCCAGGTCTTGGCGTTTTTGCCCGATCCCGCCAATCACAAGCTGCCAAACACAATCGCCGTCGTCTCCAGAAAATTTCCCAACCATCGATGTCGTCGATGCCAAATAAACAGCCAAACCTCCATCAATTTCACCCAGTTTCTGCAGCAGACTTAATAAAACCCCCCACACGGAGACTCTTGTTATTTCACTACAACCATTTGTACTTCCATGACGACAACTGCAAGCTGCGACTTGTCCCTAACCTCACCGAGCTAAAGAAATGCCCTGTTGACTAGGACTAGGATTGCACGATGTCAGGCGTCTCATGTCACTCTTTAATAGCTTGGAAAGGACGGCAGGCTTTCGACTCGTCTCTCAAGTAGGGCTCTTCTACTCTCCTTCCCCCACACCCCGCTCATTTCGCTCAGTCCAATTGCCTCCCTCTTCATACATCCCGCGAACCATGCGACTCCAGTCATACCTTACAAACCGCACTCGAATTAACGACTTGTTTACCAATTCGCTTGTCATGGCCGGACTATGCAGAGAACACTCACCACGGAAAAGAAAATTCGCGAGAATGGCGAGACACTCGTCTCACACTGCGATACAGCCGTCTCAGAATATACAAACGGAAGAGAAGGTTGCTAACGGGAGCAGCATCAATTCACAAACAGCCGACCCGCAGGAAGGACATGCCCTTGTGTCGCAGAAAGCAACAAAAGCATCTTCGATAACCGTTAACCAGAAATCACACCCCCCTACCCTACCTCCAGACTTTACGATTGACCACGCCGCATTCAAACGAGCGGCAGCTTCGAAACTCGACAATACCAAACACCTTTTCCAGCTTTACCTCGAGACATTGGGCAAGAAGGAAGGGCTAAAATCCCTCCAGGTTGTATTATCAAATCCAGCAAGAGAGATATGCATGCCCCAGAGAAAACAGACAGAACCTTACCTGCCCGATGCAGTGGAAATCCATGGGGTTCAACGACTAGTGGATTTATTGAACGAAGAGCGCAGCTCAAACCAACAGATTTTCAGAGCATATAAAGACCTCCCATCGCCCGGTGTATTATACCTTTCTGCCCGAAGTCGAAGACTCCTATTGCATCGCTTTGCGAGCCCCCCTCGTCGCCTACGTGTACATGCCGAACGATATCTGAAATTGATAGACGATATGGCCGAAGCGTCGTTTTATATATCGCCATCGTTATGGACCGCAGCAATTCATTTGGCAGGGAAGTCCTATACGTCAGTAAAGAGGCCCGATCTGAGATCGTCACTGGGAATGTGGAGGCGGATGGAGCATGAAGGCTCAGTACCGAGCTCCAGCATAGCATTCAATATATTATATGACGTTGCTATTAAAGCCAGGCAGTGGAAAGTTGCCGACAAGGTTATTGAGGAGATGAAAGCTCGTGGACTGGAGCTCTCTCGATTCGGAAGGGTGGCTCACATATTTTCCTATGGGCTACGCGGAGATGCTGAAGGCGTTCGGAAAGCCTACCATGAATTTATTCAACTGGGCGAGGTGGTTGATACCGTTGTTCTAAACTGCGTCATGGTTTCGCTCCTCCGGTGTGGGGAGCAACATGTTGCAGAAAAAATCTACGAGCGGATGAAGGACATGTACCTTACCCTAAAAGCGCAACGACCCGAACTCCTAAATTCGAGTGTATATCCTTCACCATCCGATAATTACGCCGCCTATAGGAAGGCAACTAAGAGACTCGGTCGCGTTCTCGGGATGACAACGTTTCTCCGTGATAAGCTTCCGGAACACCACCGTGCATTACAAAGAGCTATGCCATTGACTCCGGATGGCAAGACATTCCATATATTTCTGTGGCACCATGCAAACGTCACAGGTGATTTACAGCGTATAATCGCACTCCTTGAGGACATGAAAGTCACATTCGCTATTCCCCCGCAGGGGATGATCTACATATTTTTATTTCACGGCTTCGCTGCCCATGGGGGAAAAGAGGGCACACAGTGGACATATAAACGCCTCAAAGGTGTATGGAAGCATTTTCTTCGAGCCTTGTACCATTCAAAGTCGGAACTTAGTGCCAAACGAGGTACCAAATGTCGAAGGGAGAAGTTTGTGTGGGAGAGCCCATTATCCGATGAACCAGACTCATCTTCCCGCGGATCCGACAGCGTTGAAGAAGCGCGCGAAGAATCATCGGACTCGATGCTACACGATAATGACAGGGGAGTACACCAAGTATCTTCGTCGAACGCTTCGCGCGAGGATGGACCCCCTAATCCCTTCGAGGAAGACGAAACCGATGATGACTGGCGGTATGAGAATACTGTGTACCTGGGTCGGAAGCTAATAGTTTCCTGTCTAAGGGCGCACGCTGCTTGCGGTGGGCCCGAAGCTGTGCTGGATGTCTGGGAACGAATTGAACGTCTTTGGAAGCCCGAGTCACAGAAAAAAGCGGACATCCTTGCTGTTAAAACAGTTCTTGAACAGCTCGTTCCTTTCGACTTTTCACAGCTTAAATAATGTGTGCCCAGAAATTACCGTAATGTATTTATAGATGTGTCTTTTCACTGTGCGGGTTTTCGGTTCTGGGCATGTGCCTTGTTAGTTTACCGTGCTGTGCAATGCAACAACATCCGGGAATCTTTTATTATCTAAGCTGAGGTTGAGATTTATTCACCTCAAGGCTACCCATATACTGAAATTAAAACTTTTATTTATTGAATTGATCGCTACCGATGCACCTGTTGACAGCCCACCTCAATACCGTTCAAAGTGAAATCACGTGATATCGCGTTCTACCCGACCTACCCTTGGAACACGACGCGATCATTTGGACAGAATGAACCGCAACTGATAGCGGTGGACCTTGTAGAGCACAAAACTATCTGCTAGGGAAACGATATAAAACCTATTCCCAACACAAAAACATGATATTATCTTAAGTTGAAAGGCAGCAGAGATGTCTCTGCGACAAAATAAACGACGTCCTGTAGACATTGACTTCACGCTGCGACGCGTCTTTGGGAAAAAGGCATTTAGGTGCGTGGGGCTATTTTATCTGTGGATTAGGGACGCCTTGAGCTTTAACCGCTTCGAGGAACTAACTGCTGCTCATCATGTAGGCCTCTGCAGCGGGAAGTCATTGAGGCTGCCATCGCGGGTCATGATGTGTTCCTTCAGGCTGCTACGTCTTTCGGGAAGAGCTTATGTTTTCAGTTACCGGCAATCGTTGGCCATGGAGGTGAGTGTCATCAAGATCTTTGTTATGGGCATGGGGAAATCAGATTGCTAATCGAACTGTCAATGACAGTCACGGTTGTTGTTTCGCCCCTTCTCGCGTTGATGGTACGTTTGTTTGCACTGGAAAGGTTATATTATATTTATATACCACTTCATCGTACCTAACCAATACTTTGCCCATACTAGGTGGATCAAGTTGCTGCCCTGGAGGCTAATGGTATACCAGTTGCAACGATCAATTCTACAACCCCCCTCACTAAACGGCGGGAGATTGTGAAAGATCTTCTTTCAGGACATCCCATTACCCGACTTCTATACGTAACCCCAGAATACTGTCAGACTGATGCCTTTCGACGGAATCTTCAAACAGTCCATCTACAAGGCGAGCTTGCTCGGATCGCAATTGATGAGGCGCACTGTGTCAGTGAATGGGGACATGATTTCCGCCCAGCCTACAAGGAGTTATCATGGTTTAGGCGAGAATTACGTATGCCATTTGTTCCAATCACCGCCCTTACAGCGACTGCGACGGCCCGTGTGCGATCAGATATCATATCACTGCTAGGATTAGATCCTATGACTCTAAAGAAATTTAGCACAGGATCAGCACGGCCTAATATTCATTATGAAGTCCGCTATCTTCAAGATTGCTCGATGGACCCCACAATCCCGGACACAGATCAATTAAATGATCTTTTCTGCTGGCTGAGTTCGATTCACAGTCGACGCATTGCGCGGTTTTCATCCCCTTCTGCAAATGTAAGCTCCGACGAAGAGCTTACATCAGCCACAACGCCGCCTCTCCCGCCAATGACGGGAATTATATACGTCCCCCTAAGGGCTATCTGCAGCGAACTTGCCAACAGCCTATCTGCTTCACCCCTCAACATTAAAGCAGTCGCCTACCACGCTGGACTGTCAGCCTCCGAGCGGTCTAGAATTCAATCACTATGGAGCTCGCCAAGTAAAATATCTACATCAACCAAGGACAAATCAGGAGAGAATTCCAAGCCGCCATCGTTTTACATCGTTGTCGCCACCAACGCTTTCGGGATGGGGATCGATAACCCTCACGTCCGTTTCGTCATACATTGGACCCCACCCCGCAGTTTTGAAGGATTTGTCCAAGAATCCGGCCGGGCAGGGCGTGATGGCCGGGCAGCCGTGTCTCTCATATACTACAGCCCCCAGGAACGTGATCGCGTATTGGATCGTATCAACCGAGATCAAGAATGGCACTTCGATGCTGCGCTGCAGGGAAACAACAATCCAGCAAGTAAAAAGCGCAGCCACTCGGCATCAAACATCGCAGCCAAGGTACGCAATCAGCAAGCACTCTTCGAGAGTTTTAAAAGAGTGGTCAAGTACTGCGAGACAACCACGCGGTGCAGACATGAAGTGATTCGCGAATTTTTCGACGAGCGCGACCCACAAGCCGATTCAGGGATCGGGCAACCGACGCAGGTTTATACTAACACATCCATCACGTCAACGTGTGATTTTGCTTGTGATTTCTGCAAGGAAGGTCGTGAAGTGTTGACGCGCCGGAAAAAACTGAGCGGTGCGTCTGAAACTTCACTGGAAGATTATGAGAATTTCTCGCCAGCGCCTATACCGATGGATGATTTCATGGGATTTCGTACGGCTAGTCTGATAGATAGAAACGGTAATAGGTGAGAACGGGACTGTCTGTTGGTGTTTATTGGTTTCTTCTGGGTATGGTGGATTACGGCATCGGTTTATGCTGGCAGGCGTTATTGAAGAGGCGGACGTTTCTCTTTTTGGAGAAGTTTTGCTCTAGCTCAATTTCGATGATGTTATGATGTAGTTTGTATATATTACCACTAAATTATCTATGGTGTTGGAATACTTTGGAGAAGGCGTTGGGCAAACCACAAAAGCGGAAACGCTAGCTTTGATCAATTTATCCAAGGGCGTGGAGCACGGGACTCGGAAGTACTTTGCGGAATAACATGTGTCAAAAAGAAAGAGAGGAAGTAATTGAAGAAAGTATGTGCTCATTCTTGCTCATTTTAAAGGAAACGGTTAGAGAGGAAGAAAATATTTGAGATTATACAGGAGACCCAATTCAAAAAGTAATCCCAACACACATATGGAAACCCACAGAGCAGAAATGGCGCATTGTAAACCATTCAGAAGTATCAGAAACGGGTAGACAGTACGGAGTACGAGAAGATCCGGGGTACTCATAAGAACTCTCCGTCCCACCGCTCCCCCCGATAGCTACCTTGAGTATGAAGGGGGAAGACGTATTTATTTACTATTATAGTAGGTAGATAGAATAACTCGACAGGGAATTGTGCTATTTGGAGAATATGCTATGAAATAGAAGGAGGAAACCTTTCAACGCAAAATATTGCAAAACATTTAAAACTAAGGCAATGTTGGGGAAACAACAGGGTGAAAAAGGGACAAAATAGACAACTGATTGAAACTAGTACGGTGCGACGAGTATGTAGTAAATTTTGGAAAGAGGAACGGGGCTAAAGCTGACTGTGTAACGAAGGGCAGTCTTTGCCTGAAAACGAATGGTTAGGAATTTGGATTACACTAGGGAGGGAAAATTGCATCATGTCCAGATATCACTATGACACAAAGCGTAGTCTGCGAATTTCCAGCAAAAGTGGACATTTATAGGCCGGGAGGAGGGGGGACCTATCAAAATAATGAGTTAGAGTGATGATTTGAATATGATGGGAAACGCGGGGAACGATTCATACAGCATTGTATCCCCCAGATGATGATGGTGGCGGCGGTGGAGGTGGTGAACCAGCTCCTGGAGGTGGTGGCGGTGGAGGAGCCTCAGAAGCTGGTGGAGGCGGTGGAGAGCTTTGTGGAGGTGGCGGTGGCGGCGCTTGCTGCTGCTGCTGTTGCTGATAATACTGCTGGTAGTACGCGACATAATTTTGATAGCCTCCCCACGCTGCGTATGGATCTTGGCCAGACATATATTGGGAGTACATGCGGCTGTAGTCGGCTAGAGACTGACCAGCCGCCGGTGCGGCTTGAGCTGTCGCGCCGGCATCAGCGCCAGGTGTGGCATTGGCAGAAGGGCTCATGGGTGTCTGGGGAGACGAGTAGCTTCCATAATTGCCACCGCCTCCCCCATAACTCCCACCGCCATAATGGGAACGGTCGCGCTGTCCATACCCGCCACCATGGTGACCACCTCCACTATATGACCGTTGTGGGGGTGGTGGCTGTTCCTTAAACCTCTCATATTGCTCCCTCACGTTAGCGAGGAGGTCCTCGCAAAGCGCTTTGGCGTTTTGGACTTCCTTCGGATCCGGGCCACTGTGATGGATTAACATGTGCTATGACTTCATATTTCCTACCACGGAATAGAAGACGATACTTACGCTACATGTAAATACATAGGTTCATCACTTTCTCTTCCTGTGCTATGTTCTGTAAAACCAGAGCCACGCCCCTTGATCTGAACACGGCAACGCGTCTCCTGCTGGATGTGTTTAACATATGCACCGCCTTGGCCAACTACCTGAGCACGAAGATTAAAACCTGGGATAGGCTCTAGATCCACAGGGATCCGTTCCTCCGGCCATTTGCGCTGTACGATTTTTTGTTAGCCATCGCATTAGTGCTGTATTGCTCTCTCAAATACATACTCGACCGTATTCATCCCGCTCCACTTGCTGCTCTGGCTCTCTGCGGCGGAACCTCCGCTCGTCAACGAGGTTGGGCAGTTCTTGCTTCATCAATTCCTCTATTTTGGCAACTGCCTTGTCAAGGCCTTCTTTGGTGGTGCTCGTTACATGAAGATAAAGCGGGGGATTCTGTAAAATGTCAGTCACCGTTCATTTGATCTTCCCGCATCATTCAGATACTGATGGAGCTTACCGCAGCCGTAGCCATGCTTTTATCAGGGAAATAGCTTCCTCGGGTTGTGACATCTTTAAACCTTTACATGAGCTTCTGTTATCTAAAATAGAGTAGCATATGATAATATAGTGATGGAGAAGTCGTACCGGCGCCAGTTTCTTCTTTAATCTAAATATCACGTAGCGGAGGTCAGCAGATGCCAAAGAGGGGTTTCGAGATGCTATGGAGAGTTGGGTAAGCTTCAGCCACCATCACAACAAGAAGGGGAATGGTGATGTGGATATGAGTTGAATATTGTTTTTTAAACCGTGGCTCCGGGCCATAAAGAGTAACAATGCCTGGGAATATCAGTGGACATGACAGAAATATTTACCATCCTCTGGGTTGCACCCTTAGTCAGTGTGTAGCGGTTTCGGAGATCGTTGACTTCAATATCTTTGATGTAGTCTCCATCCGCCATGTAAACTTCTCCATTAACGTTGCGTGCGCCTTCCGCACCTGGAGAAGCAGACTTTGCCGCTGGACTAGCAGTCTATTGATTAAGTATATTAGAAACGAGGAAACGCGTTCATTGGCAATGGAAGGTTAATGGGTCCCGAGGGGGGGGGGGGGGGGGAGGGTAGGGGAGTCTGCATATCATACAGAACGGACTGGCGGCACGTTCATGTGCTGATATCCTTTCTTGGCTTGAAGCTCAGCATTTATCTTTGCAGCAGCGGCAGCTATTTAGATGTCAATCCGAATATTGAATTAGTATTCTGCTTGCGAAAGAAGTCCCGATGAAATATGCACATGGCAGAAAACTCACCTGCGGCAGCAGTTGGATCTGGAGCTGCGGACTTCCGCTTGTCGTCGTTTCCAGGGCTTCGCGGTTCCCGGCTCAGTGGACTTCGTTCCCGCGTGGAGTCGGAATTTCGGGCAGATGGGGATCGCGAGCGTCGGTCAAATCTTGACTGTCGTCGAGGCTCTGCTTCTGTTTGATCAAAACGAGAGCGCTTTGCGCGCCGCTCACTGTCCGCCATTGTTGGTAGCGGCAGCGTAGCCTCACACACGGGAATCAAACTGTGTCCTGTAGATCCGAAAAATTAAATACGCTAGCGTGAAGAAAAGTGAGACCAGAGTCAGGGTTGGTGATATCGTCAAATAGGAATATTTTGAGCATGTTCTTCGCATGTCTGTTAACAAGAGTGCTTCAACTATACGCTATTCCAAATCCGCGACTAGTGTATTGCTTAGTCATAAGAACTTAGCCTCAACGAAATAAGCTAATCCTTAGACGGACTAGGCAGTTGCTGGTACCGCTCAGTCGTTTCTCCGACCTCGGAGTTTGGCAGCGATCATGTGACTCATATTTTTCAACCTCCAAAAGAAATGGAAGAAGAAACAGAACTGTTTAAGCCTTGGAATATCCGCTTAAGGTGAGATTGTGATGAGCATCATTCCTTTCCCATTTCTCCAATTGTAGAGTCATAGAGGTGGTATACTCTGTTCCTTTTGGTGGATAGCTTTCTTAGCTTCCAAAACGAATTTAGAGCTAACACAAGAGGAGTCACCAGTAGCTCCTTGCGACTAGACGGATAGAGAGCAATTTGCTCTCGCCGTCGTGCGTGGTAGAAAATGGCTTCTCGACGAGTTTTCTCCCTATCTTCAACGCGCGCTCTATTGTCGTCGCCCTCTACATGTGGCTCTGGAAGCAAGCTCGCCACTTCCCGCAAACCATGCAATGCCCGTTCCTCATCGAGCTCGACATCCGCTCTCGCGTACAAAGCTCTGCACCGTCGTTCCCCGCTTCCTCTCCCAGTAGCTGATAGCCCGACCTGGTCCGCCCCTGCTGCAGTCTCCTCGATTCTATACGAGACCCCAGTACCGTCGACCAAGCCTCCAAAGCGCCATGTGCTGAATTGCTTGGTACAAAATGAACCTGGCGTTCTCTCCCGCATCTCCGGAATTCTTGCAGCTCGGGGTTTCAACATTGACAGCCTCGTTGTCTGCAATACGGAAGTAGAAGATTTGTCGCGGATGACAATTGTCCTTCGTGGACTAGATGGTGTGGTTGAGCAGGCCCGTCGCCAACTGGATGACCTCGTTCCCGTATGGGCTGTGCTTGATTACACTGACTCTGCCCTGGTACAACGTGAGCTTCTTCTTGCGAAAGTTAGCATTTTGGGCCCAGAGGTGTTCGAAGAACTCCTCCAGCACCACCGTGAAATGACCACACCAGAAAATGAGGAAGTATCTGGCTCTGCTGAGAAACCGGCGAAGTCAGCCGAAATTGAAGTACAGAGGTTCAAAGGAAGCCAACACGCCAGTGATTACCACCCCAGCGGACTAGCTCACAGCCAGGCACTTCGACACAAGCACGAGCATTTGAAGGCCATTACCCACCTGACCCATCAATTCGGTGGCAAGGTTTTGGATATCAGCACCAACAACTGCATCGTTGAAGTGTAAGTTTATGCATCCCGGCTTGTTGGTTATGAGGGCCACCATTGATAACACTACGTGACAGATCCGCAAAACCAAGTCGTATCGATTCCTTCCTTAAACTAATTTCTCCCTTTGGTATCCTTGAATCTACCCGAACAGGTCTGATGGCCCTGCCACGCTCTCCGCTCTCCGGACCAGAAGAAGAGTTCGAAAAGGATACAAGCGAGGCTGTCGACGCTAGTGCTCTTCCACCTGGTTAAATTTCACAATATGCCGGCCTCTGAGGCCTCTGATTTAGTGCTAGATTCAGTTGCTGCTTTATATTTGGATACGTGTTATTTGTTATCTGCAATAGTTTTGTGTAGCATTCCTGAAGGGAAGCAATCATACTTTAGGGAATGAATGGAAAGAGAAAATGGAAGGACAGTGACAGGCAATCAAGTTATTTCTTTTTATTTTCTCATTTCTCTGGTTCTGTATAACTCTATGCTATCGTCTAGTTTCCTTCATCTCTTGTATATTTTACGTATTGGGAAGGAACGGACCGAATAACTGCCCATTTTAATTCTACTTTTTTTTCTTTTTTTCTTTTTTTTTTTGTGGCTGTTTATGTCTTGTCGTCATCATTGGCGTAGTGAATTTATTTCAGTGCCCCTCACCGCAAAGCTCTCCGGCCTCTCGCACCGTATATTGGTCTAGGGGCAAGGTACTAACTCTTCTTCGGGCATTGGAATTGCCATTGATACTATGTGAAAATTGGATAAACATAGAAGCGGTGTGAAGGGAACCAACCACCTAGCTATTTTCATTTGGTCTTTCAGGAATAGAGCAACGAACGAGCTTACATCCAAAAAATAGCTTGAAGAAAATATGAAATCGTAACTGGATTGGAAGACCACATACGCATAGAACGAAAGTCATAGTAGTTGGAATCTCAAAGATAAATGCTTATCACTAGCATCCATAGGGCCACAGAGCCCTGCTGTTCATATGGTTGAGCAGCTCCTATTGAAGAACAGTTGAGAGGGGAGAAGAAAACGAGAACAAAATAAATAAAACGTGCTTCTCACAGTCATAACGTCGTAATATCGTTGGGGTATCAACTGGGCCGTGAAAGGTCATAGAAATGAAGACAAGGGGAGAAGAAAGATAGCCTGGGCAAGACATGTCGCAGACAGTGGAAACACTAAGAAAAAAAAGAGAGGGGGGGGGGGGGGGAAGAAGGGAAATAAGGCGGACAGAAAGCCCAACAAGCCAATTTAAAGCCGTCCACCTGTGTTCATCAAGAGCAGTGTGTAGGAAATATCCCGAAATCCGTATCTTCCGTCTTCCCAACGACCACGTACCAGGATGTGCGGTATGCGGTATCTTTCAACCTTCACTTTCTGTCCCTTTCCGACAAACTTCACAAATTCCGCAATACAAGGGGCTGTAGTTTTGTCCTCTGTTTGTCGGGCAAGTGCAGTCCTCAGAGAAGACCGTCTCTATGGCTCCACATTTATAGATAACGGTGTGGTTGCACATGGTTGTGAGGAAGATGCCTCGCGCAATTGCGGGTTGGTTGAAGGATAAAGGAAAAGACGAGTCGGATGGGAGGCTGGAAATGGGATATAGCAGAGACGTGGAAATCTGCCTATGGATGTTGTTCAATTCTTTGTGTATTTGATTTTGATACTCCTACTCCCTTCACGTGCTATGGCAGCAACAGAGATACTGATAGTCGGAAGTTATGTGAACCGAGGGTGATAACCGGTGTCGAATAAACAAACGGCTTTGGGTTAAAGTTCTGAAATATCTATGTAAAGACTTGATATGAACGGACAAGAGGAATTCGAGAAGGCTCTGCCCTATTATCGTAAGAGTCGATGTGTAAAGTCGGAGATGAAGGGGCGAGTAAAAGGTTAGGAGAAAATTGATTGCGCCGTATCAGAAGTGTGTATGTGAACAGCCAGGAAAATCTTAAGTGGACGGTAAAAGGATGTCGACAGCAAGCTGATATATAATCGACCTGGATTGTTTGCTGTGGGGAAATAAATACTAATTTATTGGAACTCCACTCGGAAGTGACAGCAAACAAGAAGGTAAATTTGTGCTACCCCTCCAAAAATCGAAAGTGTTAGATGTGTACGTGAAATGAAGCGTTTTGATATTTGCTAACGGATATCGTTAAATAATGTAAAATTGTAAACTTCAGAATTGAATTGAGGGGACGAGATGTAAATTATATACCCTTTCAAGGAAGATAGACGGGGGCCCTATTTGCCAAAACCATTCGCGCAAATCACCTGTGAAAGATATAGGCACGAAACTCCCATGCTTGCTTGGGCACGAGTGGACCTTTTGTTTGACGTCATCTAGCAGAAATAAAGAGATGCGCGAAAGTTTAAAGAAAATGCAGTTAACACAATATCGCAATGCAACAGCTGAACGGGGGTTAGTAGCGGAGATGTCAGAAGCAAACGAGACGAGGATTCAAAGGTGAATCCTGGGCGACAAATCCTGTCACAGCATGAGGGTCAGGATGAAGTGAAACAATTGAGGCTGGAGAGCTTAGCCTGGGAGCCGGGATCATTGTTCGCACCTGTCGCTGCCCAACTATGGAGAATCAATGCGATGGTTATCTCAGTGGGAAATTATGGAATGGAAAAGTAGGTTCGTGTATAAACTTTATCTGAAGACGGTGGGTAACTACCCAATGACACAGGAGAGGCATTGATTGTCCAACGAGCACAGTAATACTCAGATCGGTCCCGAGGTCCTTGAGTTGGGAGAACTTGACAGCAAGAGATGGCGCAATAGAGGTCGCCATAGGGCAGGTGAATCCGAGATGCGCAAAGACAAACCCTTACACCTGCCAAAGTGCGTCACTTTCTCGTAGTTGATGGGAAAAGAAATCTAAAATCCAATAGGATGTCAGGGCCATCTGTGGGCATTGGGAAAATAACGGACTTTTTGAGACCACCAATGATGCAAAATATTGACCAATATGCAATTATGACATCAGTGACAAGGAAACATTAAATATTTGCTATTTGGGCTGCGATAGGGAAAATGCGCAGTTAGCTCTGAAAGAAGACCCAAGTGTAAAAAAAATGCACTTAGGGAGAGCGGTGACTATGGATTGAAAATGATTGGGTGGCGGCCGATGATGCTAAGGAACCTGGCCACATGTTCATCTCCAAATAACCGGAACTGACCAGGAAGAGCAGCAAAGAGACGAGAGGGATTCCTGGAAAGGTTCGTTGAAAGTTTGGGGGAGGACAACTGGTCTTGGTCCTGTAATTCGTCCACGTGTGACCAATCAATCTGGGAACCGGAACCGGGACCATTAGCATGCGTACAGATCGTGACATTCTGATCGCCTGGTTACAATGATCGACTCGCTATTTACCTACCTTTTGCAACTGTCATCGTCTGAAGACAACCATGGTCAAACATCCTTGCTTTGAGATGCTGACATTTGCGACGCTAGCCTTTGGACATTTTTCTCATTAGTGTACCGGTAGGTAAGTAAGTTGGAAGTCGCCTTATTAACGTGGGAGCTCATATATCTCGTGCCAGACACGGCACGACATTATGACCAAAAATGGACAGGGACTCATCCTCAACTTGTTTGCCAGAAACATTGAAGCCCCGCGCTGAAGATTCTTAGTTGATTCAAAACATTGCATAGAATACAAGTTGTGCTAGAGTTAGTAGTCCACATCCCGGTAGAACGAGAGCCAGCGGAACAGCAACGATCATGATTCAGGCAAAACCCGCCGCCGAGAAAAGATTGGGATAAATCATGGTTAGCCGGGATGTGGTTATAAAGAACTCTTTCGCATGTCCGTTGACGTAAGGCTCGAAATGCACATCCAATGTATAAATACAATGCCAAAAGGTCAAAAGGTGGATGAAGTATAGTCGCATTATCCTCCATAAAAAGTATGTGTACGCCAATGAACACCTTTTGAAGCGGGTTCCTCAGAGACCCGAGACAATTAACCTTAAAACTCCAACATGTTGCTCTCGAAAAGGAAAGGAGGAAACCTGACAGCTCATTCCAGAAAATGGTTCCGCATCGTTAGAAAACATTATTATCCTATATCCGTACCTTTGCGCCAATCCCTTTACCTTTGTAGAACAGAGTATTCGAATAGTTTCCGAGCTGCACGTCGACGTCAGCGACAGCATCCATTCTCAATGTTCCCCCTAACGCCTGTCGGATCGCTTCGTATCCCGCGCCACTAAAATCCAGGTCCACCGGGAGCCGCGGTGTCTGGGATATCCCAGGCGGTACTGCAAATGGAAGGTCATACTTGATATTTCCTACAGGCTCAGTGTGATTGTAGAATGCCACTGCGTCAATACCGGTAATCAGAAGTGTGGTGGACAACAGCGGTGAGGCCAGGGTGAATACCGCAGTCGAAGACCACAAGTGCAACTACCAAGACCAAGGATTTGCAAGTCAGTCCTCGTCAATGGTTGTGTAGTAGAACACGAGTGAAATTTAGGTAGGAGAGAAATCAGATTATGAGGTACCCATCTGCCTGATTTCCTCAGTAGGAGATTGTTTAGAAAGGCTATCGGCAAGAGCAGACAATACCGTTGCATCCTTAATGAAGTGGGTTTGGCCATCATCCCCTGGATTCTGATCATCTCTTGGTGCTCGAAGCTTCGGAATCGGAATGTCCAGTTCCAGGGCCGATAATGCCAACCCTAATCTAGGGAGAGTTGGAATCGTGTGTTGATGTGGGCGAAGGGCGATGGACGCATTGAATCCTGAAATCAGTTAGAGGAGTTACCAAGCTGGGTTGTGTGTAACTGGGACAAACCTGAAACATAACGAGATATCAGATCTTGACCAACAGCGATTCCATCCTTTCCACCAAACCGCAATGGGTCCCAGAGAGCAGATATTTCAACCCCGGAATTGAGTCCTGGTGACATTGACAGGTTTCGGGCGATCACGCGCCCAACGTTGGTTCCGTTGTGCGCGACTCGTAAATTTATATAAGGAACGATCGCTGAATATTCAGTTGGATTTGTCAAATTTAATTTTGCTGCAAGAAGGATGGATGACTCCGTCGTTTGGACTATTTCTAGAGTATCCACGGCAACCTTGAGGTCCGAAAATCCTCCACTCGCGAGGGCTAGACGTAATGGCATATTAGTTAGAAATTCACGATAACCAAGATATCCGAAAACGTACGCTTCACAGTGATGTTGCCACTAGCTGGAATATCTCGAATTATGAATTGCCCAAGCGCAGTATCCGTTTCTGCATCCACCTTTGCTTTAACATGTAAAGGAATAGGTTTGCGTTCGAGGATTAACGCTTGGACAACATCCGTAAATGTGTCCCCATTGGTGACCTGTAGCGGTGCTTTCTTGATATCGAACTGGACCAGCAACGCTACAGACGGAGGCGAGCCGTCTTGAATGCGAGTTGCAGAAGCATTTTGCCACTTGTTAATTTTTATGTAACCAAGCTCTCTTCCCTCATAGTAAATATATGCAGTAGACCGAACGTGGGAGATATTTAATGGAAAGTTCATCTCCTTAGGAAGGCCGATTACCGCTTTGACCATTGCGGAAACCGTAAGTTGAGCTTCTGGGGTGTCTGGTTGAGCGAATGGTTCCGGTAGGAAGAAATGAACGTTCGTCATGGAAAAGTTTCGAACTAAATGGTCAAGCGCACGGCCTGCGAAAGGTACAGGAACCGTGACGTTTCTCAGAAAACCTTCTATCCAGTTAGGCAAATTGGATGAAGGGGATTTGCCTCCACGAATGTAAATTTTAGATTCCAGCCCACGAATATAGTTTTCAACTAGAAGATCTAAAGGTGACCAGTTGGTACCAGGACAGGCAGTGGTTAAGACATCAGGAAGTGTTCCAATATATCCTTTCGCAGAGATATTCACGGGCTCATTGGGGGCGATTTGAACTAGGTCCGTTGTAGCATTAGCTACTACAATATAGCGGTCCATAGGTGCACAGTTTGGTACTGAAATCTTGAAGCCCATTGGAGGCACGGTGAGTTTGACTGGATATCGATTCATAAGAAGCACTGAGATGTCGGCTTCCATAGCTTTTTGATGTGTTGGTGTCCTGATTTCATGGAAGTCCAATTTCGTGATGTTGAAATCAGGGAAACCGTGGTAGCTATGGTCTATTAAGATTATTAGTCAAACATGTCCAAATTCAGGTCAGGATTTCGAAAGAAACTGTACAGGGATTGACCTTGGAATACAAATGACTCCGAGATAGTCTGAGATCCGAGATATAATATGCCGGATCTCAGGCGCACAGAAGCCACTCCTCTGACACGCAACTGGCCAAGGCGGCCCTGGAGCCAGTCGTTCGCTACAACTCGAACCCCGGCCATATCTCCGGCTTTCAAGTCTGTTACAAAATCGATGGTATTCACGTGGCCATCACGAATATTGACTCGGATGGGTGGGATCGTCGCAGTTCCTAGCAGGACGTTGCCGTACTCTGGAAGATACACTTGTACTTCGGTTTCATCGCTCTCAATCTCTCTTGCTAACCACGTTCCCAAACGCCCAATATCACGTACAACTTTCGTCGGCACACGCGACGCATCGAGAACAAAGGAGCCTTGAACTCTAGCCTTTACTCCATCTGATGTAAATGAGTCGATGGATACATCAGTGGCTTTAAAAACTGTAGCCGTTTCAGCATATTGTTTGATCACAGTCGGGCTGGCAAAACCCAGCCCCAGAACTGTAATTATTGCCAGTATAAGGCTTAGCAGAGCGATAGACGAAGGTCGGGTGATCCACCTCGGTCCCTGTTTTGTGGAAGACGGGTTCGGGGATGATTCGCGGGAGGACGAGGATGAAATGTTGACATCCCCCAAATATTGGATGCCTTCACTTGCCCGATGTGCAAGAAGGGGTGTAGATTCCGACAAAAGTTCATATGACGTGGTTTTGGGCTTCCCGTTACGAATAGAGCTCGTCCGGGTCTCTGGATGGAGGTTTTCCTGGGAGGCCTCACTGAGCAGCGGAGCACATTCTCCCACGGCGTCCCCAGCCATGATGGCTGGAACTACAAAGATGGCAACGACTGTAACTTTAAAGGTTAATTCTTCAACGACATGGGCCGACTCTTAATGAAAAGTGATGTGACTCGAGAAAGTCAAGGTGGAAGAGAAGGTGGAAGTTGGATGTTTGAAACCTTGGATGACGTTGTTTAGTCAGCGAAACCCCTAAAAATAACATATGGTACTACTGAATTGTATTAACCAATGAATAAGCAGATAACGTAATCAACCACTCAACGACCGTCTACACTCAACGCCCGCCCCTGTAATTCTATTTCAATCAACTTCAAATGTTAATATCTCAATGAATATTCATTATTTTAACTTTTTAATTTGTAATTTATAAATATCAAGATTTATATTATAATATAATTCAAAATTATTATAATATAATTAAAATTGATTAAAATATAGATTTAATTATAAAATAAAATACAATCAAATAAAATATATAATATTCAATTATAAATTAAGAAATAAATATTATATATTATTAAAATTTATAAATATTATATAAATATATTATAATTTAATAGATATTATATTATTTTATATAAAAATTATATATTTTAATTTTTAAGAATTTTTTTAATTTTTTAATTTTCATTTTTATATAAATTACAAGTAAAATATTAAAAATTCTTGAAATTTTAAATTTTTAAAAATAATTTATTAAATATAAATATATTTAAGCTCTTTAGTATAATAATTTATTTAAATTACAGTTTTAAAATATAAATAATACATAGTTATTACAAAGGTAATATTTAAAAAATAAAAATTTATATAAAATTCTAAATAAATCAATAATAAATAAGAATTTTAAAATAAAATTTTGTATAGTATTAGAAATATATATAATCTATACTATATTTAAATTTTATATAAAAATAATCAATATTTATTAATATATTTATAAATATATACTCTGTATTTTATTTTAAAATAGTCTTTTAAAAAGTTTAATAAATTAATAATTATATATTATTTTTTTATAAAAATTTGATATAATATAATATATATCTGCAAATTACTATATTCATTTTTTAGAATAGTTTTTGATGAATATTCATTGAGATATTAATATTTGAAGTTGATTGAAATAGAATTACAGGGGCGGGCGTTGAGTGTAGACGGGCGTTGAGTGGTTGATTACGTTAATTAATAAAGTTGACAAATAATATTTAGCTCACTATCTTGCAATTAACTTTCAAATACAACCAATAGAATATTTTCCCAAATTAATGGCCGGTTTCCGGTTTCGCACAGTACGCTGTAATAATACGTAGCTCGACTACCGCTTTCGGTCTTCCGAGGGAATCTCTATGACTCCAACTCCAACTCACCCGTTCAAGGATCAAGGGTCAGCAAGATAGCGCCCTGCCAGCTCTCCCTGCGATATAATATATAAATCAATTAGCTTCAAGCCCTTTTGAAAAAGGATCTCAATCGATACTCTTTCAGCTCTTCTTTTTCACATTCGGTATTTTCCCATTTTGCAACTGCATTCTTTTAGTTTTTCAATTCTTTTATTCTTATTTATTTTTATTTTATTTTATATATATATATATATATATTTTTTTTTATAACAGAGCACACAACACAGCACTTCTCCAATCCCCTGCGGCGCATTACAAGTCACCAAACCAATCCCCCAAAACCCGACAGATTTCCTTCAATCTTCTAACTAGTTTTGATCATGTTGCTATCCCGCAATGCAGCCAGGACTCTCCGCAACATGGGTTCGCAATTGCGACAATCTTCCTCCAGTGCCGCAGGCCCGCGCCACCTGCTCTCCATCGCAGACCTAACCCCTTCTGAGTTTACAACACTTGTCCGCAATGCCTCTGCACATAAAAATGCCATGAAATCTGGCTCGATACCGGACTCTCTTCACGGATCGTTGTCCTGCAAAACTATCGCCATGATGTTCTCCAAACGAAGTACGCGAACCCGCGTGTCAACAGAAGCAGCAGTGGTCTCCATGGGCGGACATCCGATGTTTCTTGGGAAGGATGATATCCAGCTTGGCGTGAATGAGTCACTTTATGACACATCCGTAGTGATCTCTTCCATGGTATCCTGCATCGTGGCCCGGGTTGGCCCGCATTCCGACATCGCAGAACTCTCCAAACACTCTTCAGTCCCTGTTATCAACGCTCTTTGTGACACGTTCCACCCGTTGCAAGCCATTGCCGACTTCTTGACTATCCATGAAGCGTTTCCGCCGTCCCAAAACTCTACACCATCCAATTCTAGTCTAGGTCTTGAGGGACGAAAAATTGCCTGGGTTGGAGATGCCAACAATGTTCTATTTGATATGGCAATCGGAGCTACCAAACTTGGCGTCGATCTGGCCGTCGCGACACCAAAGGGCTATGAAATGCCCGCGCATATTAAGGACCTTATTAAAAAAGCTCGTGTAGGAGTCGAGTCTCCAGGAAACATTACTCACACTAACGTTCCGGAGGAAGCTGTCAAGGATGCAGACGTCCTTGTGACCGATACGTGGGTCTCTATGGGACAGGAAGATGAAAAAGCAAAGCGAATCAAAGCATTCGAAGGATTCCAGATCACTTCTGACCTGGCAAAGCGTGGAGGTGCCAAAGAAGGCTGGCGATTTATGCACTGCCTACCTCGACACCCCGAGGAGGTGAGTGACGAAGTGTTCTACGATAGGAGTCGGTCCCTAGTATTCCCCGAAGCAGAAAATCGACTGTGGGCAGCTATTTCGGCATTGGAAGCGTTTGTAGTCAACAAGGGCCAGATCGTATAAATAGGACCAGTCTTCGAAATAGAAAATCTTTGCCCCTTTCTCTACTTCTGTCTGTATTACTGCTCGGTTGAGGAACTTTCTACGTAACATAGGTCCAACTACCCACTTGACTTTCTCAACCTTTTGTATCCCACGTCCATAGGATCTGTTTCTCACCTGTAGTCGCTAGAGACGAAGCTAGTCTCTGTTTTGCCATAAACGTCTTCCAGTCAGTCTGGCTAAATGAATGACGCGGAATACTACAGAGTATATGTGAGCTAATAAAATGGATGTGTTTGAAGCCGATTTGATCCGTCACGTGCGCTGAGTGGCTGAACTTTGTCTTGTGCCACATGCACGAGCCACAGATCCGAACATGAACGACATCATTATCCCTCCAACCTGGATGTTCGACTCTCGCTTCTGTTAAAATATCAACGCTCTCACCTTCGGTAGACTGATAAATTAACCTACTGGTTCTAATCTGTTTGCCAGTTTCTTCATACCACAGTCCATTCCTCCAATCGTCCACCAAGGTGGTGTTCTTGCCTCGAGGGCCTTGCCAGTTAGGCTTATGAAGCTTGTGAATGTGATATCTTATTTGCTCTATACCTTCTTGGTTGGTAACTATGGAGGTATGTAACGCTGGACAGTGTTCTCTACAACTAGCACTTTCATTGTTTGCTAACCTCAACAAAGTCTTTACCTCACTCACCGAGCTCATTTCGCTCCCGCCGCTCTCATACGTCGCTGCGTCACATCTCACTTGCGCCATTGTCATCCAGATTCCCTCTTGATGATGATGACGAACTTGATTCCGACTACCATTATTCAAATCCCAATGGGTCGGACCCTTCCCGACGACTCTCATATAGTTCTCATCGTGCCACATCGTCTTACCTTGCCAGTGCCTCTGTTCCCACAACGCCGCCGATACTCTCTCGTAACACCTCGTATACTAATCTCCCGAAAAGAAAAACCACTCCAAGCTTATCTCATATGAGCCATACAAATTTAGACAGAATAAAGTCTGAGCATACCCGCCATCACCGCAGGTCCAAAAGTTACACTACTCTAGGACCAAAACTAAGCAATACGGCTACGCGTCAGGACTCCGAGTGGCTTTTGCGGGCAGGATTGGCGTTATCCTCTTCCACCCGGGAAGAAAAGGGCCAGAGCTGGCTCGTGAAACGAGATAGCTCAACGAGCCTTGTCTCAGAAGACGTTCCTGATAACGAGCCTTGGCGCAACTCTCGTCATCACTCACGTCATAGCCATGGCCGAAGACAGAGATCTGGACTATCAACGCCTGTTACTTCTTCACGGCGACCCTCCAACTCTCATGTTTCCAGCAAATTTAGCAGTCGAGTAGACCTTTCTATGACGGTAGCGGGCCTTGCAGAGCAAAGCCCTGACGATCGCGCTTCAATATCCGACGATGCTGTAGGACTCGTGCCGGACTTTGTTGATGAGACCGTCCGTAGTGAAATGGCTGCGATGTCCTCACAGCCATTTGGTCAGGCAAAAGCGCCGAGCCAGCGAGGAGTGCGAAGTTTCGATGACGGCGGATACCCGGCGGTGTCGCGACGAAATTCCGCATTTGATTCCTCATTTTCGGCATCGTCCTCAGAATTCTCGGATTCCGAAACAGATGAAGAGGAGGAGGTAGACGAGGCGGAAATGCAACGTTTGACTCGTGAACGAGGGTTAGGCCTTGGTAGTTGGATAGATCGTCTGGTTGAATGGACCCTTTTTAGTGTAGAAGATGAGATTCCCGCAGTTCCCGCAGAACCTTCCCGTCAACCTCGTCAGTTTGGTGATATTCAACATCAAACTTTGGTTGAAGAACCGGACAACAGTTCCAGTCAGTACTATGAAAGTTCGGAGACGGAAAGTGACAACCAACAACGGGAGAAGGAAGACGAAATTTCGATGGCGATGCCTATAGAAATACCAAGTGATCAAGGTGGATGGTCTGATGTTGGCTGGCTACTTCGCGTAGCGAAGACCATCGTTTTTTAAACTGTATGGGAAGCCTCTTTGTTTTGTATTTTTCTTTGACCCCTCGTTTTCGAACTTATCACACCTCCACTTCGGACTATTTATGCTTAATATCTTTCTCTAGGAGCAGGGTAGTTTGAGAGATCAGACCTCTGGTGCTATTGCTCTATTCAGATTTCGGTCTTAGGTCTGCTTTCGTGGTTATGTTACCAATGAAATCGGAGATTGAAGATAACGTGTGATCAAAAAGATCGCCTTCTCGATACATATGCAGCTTCTTCCTCGCTGCTGAGACATTTCTTACCTTTAATACTTTTGCTATGTTACGGAGTCTCTCTCCCCAATTGATCATCTAGAATCAGCAACAAATTGTACCAGAGTTTTCGCCTTCCAATCCCTATTTCCGCAGTTTGTACGCTAGCATATAAATCATCAGTCAAGCACGGTCGGGCATAAATCGACTGCTCTCTCACAGAAGCCCCACGCAATTTCAAAATAAGCTTCCTAGACATCGTCATTGAAAACATCGTTTACAAACTCGGCTTTTGACTTGCGTCTGAACGATGACCGCACATCATTTCCCCTGTGTAAATTCCTGTGCCACTTTCACAGCGAATCGGTGCCACAAGACACGGAATCTGCAAAATTAAATTGCATGCACGGGGTATGTACCCAAATGAATTAAGGCCGTACTTTAGCAATTCACCATAATGTTCATGCAGGACGCCAATCATTCTTTGCTTCGAGTGAAAGAAAAAGGAAAAAGCAAATAGCGGAAAACCAACATGCTTGCCCCAGTCTCAGCTTGATTGGTCCAACCTCCACGCTCGAAGTCGGGACCACGGGCGTTTAAAAGGCTCTTCAACAATGAAGCTTCCAACCCAGTTTATTTCTCTCTTCCATGCTCTCGTCAATCCGAATACTAGCTGCCCAGATAGTCTCCCTACACATCCGATGATGCGGAAGAGAGATAGATCCCTTTCATTTAAGCCTTCCATTCGAAGCTGTCTCGTTTTGCGGGGAGTGAAAGGTTGAAAATCCACAATGCAAGTATGGTTCCGGCCACCTCTCCCGAGCAAACAAATCTCAATGCTATACAGGTCGCCGCGACAAAATAATGGAAGGTAAAGACAAAACTTGCCTGAGCGGGAATTCCGCCCGTCCCTATCAATGTGGCCCTTGTTTCTAGGGCCGATGCTACCAATAGAGCACCCCAACTAGTAAAATCAGAGTGCTTCAAAGCGATTCATCATCTGACAGATATGCCTCTCGAAAGTAGATAGCTACTGCCCCTTGGTTTCCTTATTTTTATTTTTTTTTTTTAAAAAAAAAGAAAAAGAAAATATGGGGCGTGCCTCGGCAATTTGTGTCACGGTACTCCGTACCCAGCCTGGAAAACAATCTCCTTTCTTATATACCGCGAGGTTCAACCGCCGCCGCCCTTCTCTTTCTTTCCTACTGATCGCCGTACGCGAATTCAATGTTTTCGATATTGCTGATTTTACTTCCATCTATATACTTCATGAACTGAAGTAGATGGGTCAATGGACCGCTTGCGTACATCCCAATTAGCTTCCGTTGCCCTTCTTTTTCTGAGCCATTTCATCGCGGATGCTTCCACCATCACTTCAACTGTCACAGATATTCCGCCCACTATAGTAGGATACTATACTCGTGACCACGAGGGCAGCACCACAGGTATGTATAAGCTTTCGTTTAATGCCTAGTGAGAACTTGTTCGACAATCACAGCCTGCTTAACTCGGAATCGCTCTATAGTCGAAAATGTATCTTGCCCTCAGCCTCTCCACTTCAGAACATCAGGCATCTATGGCTACTGCTGCCACCCCAGTAGTACTACGCGATGCCCACTCGCAACGCAATGTAGAGATGGTATAATAGAGGGGCCCTATCATACAAGCGAATGGTATGCCCTACTTCACGCGCAAAGACTCCAAAGTTTCCCCACCGGTATTAACCAATGCGCTACTATCTTATCGTTCTCCTAGCACGCATTGCGTTACAATGTCTGTCTACGAATCATTTCATATGGTAGCTCCGTCAGTGACCTATATTCAATGTCGGAAGAATTGGCCGGTGTTGACACTTCATCGTCATCTCGCAATTCCCCAAACGACGTCTACTGGTATAGCTTCACAGCCTCGGAATGAGAGATTAACAGCGGCTCACCCTTTCCAATTTCCAGATACCACTATACCCACTTCACCCGGGGAGACCACAAACTCGAGTTCGCTGCAAACATCCCCAGGCGGCATACCGGCCACTCCAATTACACCGACAAGGACTCAAATCGCGACCCCGTCGCCTGGTGACTTCTCCGAGAAATTCCCCGATGAAAAGAAAGTAGAAGCAGCGAAGATATCCAGTATAATTATTGGAACGATCCTATTTATCGCGATAGTCATTCTTGGACTCTTACTAGGCCGTAGTAAGTGGAATAAATCAGTGTCACAGACTTCACTGCGCAAATTACACGAAGCAGAGGGATCTACCGGACTTGTATCGGTGCCCATTCGAAGAAGAGTGCCAAGGCACGGCTCGCAGCGAAGCCATACGTCAAGAGACGGGTTCATTGCGTTCGACGATCTCAGTCCTTCCGAAAGGTATGCGCCAGCGCAGGAACTGCCCACCGTGGTTGAGGAGCGATATCACCAAGTGAGCACTGCCTCGAGCCCCATCAGCCCCTGTGTGAGCTCGCCCCGCTAGTTGATAGAAATTCATTATTCTTTTAATTCTACTTGGCGCATCCCTGATACCCCATAAATCTTCGCACACGGCTGGGCTATTATAGAAGCATGCATATGTATAGGATCTCCAGGCTTGAATATGCAGCGGTTATTGATCGATCGGGCACCGCTTGCTTCCCATTTCCTAAACAACTCGTCTATATTTTGAAAATATTTGAGTTGCGGCTAGTTTCTGTGGATTTCGAACGTCTCCAGGTACACGTGAAGTGCACGCATACCAGTTTCCTAATATTTAATTTATCTTTATGATCTCTTCCCTATAGCCCTGATTCAAAGATGGGATAGGACATTTTGAACTCTACGGTGGAATTCAACGAATACGGGGGTATCTACGTCTAATTCCCTAACAGACTTGAATATAACTTATATGTACTCGAACCTACTCTTTTGTATTCAAGTCCTTTCTCCCATGGCTGGATGACCCGTCTATTACACATTAGACAGCGCGGTCGAACGTACTGGAGCCAAAGGAATTACAGCTGCCAGCTAAGAAATGTAAAAATATGCATCTCATCCCAGTTGGGGAACGTAAACTCCAAACAAGCTCATCTTACAGCTTGCCGTACTTTCACCCTTTTAAGGCGATACTTGTTCACAATTCTTCGACGAGTATAGGCCAGACAACGCTGATATTATTATCTTCCTTGATTATCAATGTAACTCGCAATGCACTCTCGCTCTCAGTACCACAAACTAGATTAGTCATTGAGGCATGTTTACAAGATGAGGACGTTGATGATATTCCCCTTTCCTTTTCCAGTGTATGACTTTTTGACATATAGTTGCCATTTGCCTGGGGGAATTGGAAGAAGTGTCCAAAATAAATAAGCTCATTCATGGCCCATGCGGAAGAGGACTGGTTGTCTTGTTCAAGCGACCCTATTTTATTGGCTCCAGTCCTGGTCACTAAATGGGATTAAATAGGCCTGCTTACCTTTTTGTTCCGCGCCTCCCTCCCTACCTTGACTGCATCTAACCCACTTATGTTACTATTTTGCAGGGTAAAACAAAGCATCAATATTTAATAGTAGCACTGATGAGTTGAGGTCACCAAGCACCACGAATGGGAGTGAGTTTAACCTCAAATTTAATCGGGTTTAGTTAGGGTGGTCAACTCGGGAAGGGGAGCAACGGAGCGCGGAGGATTCAATGATCCGGATATTTTGATATACATTGATCCTTTAAGGCTTTCCTGAATCGATACCATCATGAGATGAACGTATTCACTGTTTGGCCACTTATTCGTCAGGTAAAATGGGGCATTACCATGTAAATACTCCCTGGCCTTTGTAGAGATTTTAGACGTGTAATATATATATTTGTTGACTAACTAAAGTTATATAATCGTTGGAAAAGGCCAAGTTAAAAACAGAGAAATAAATTACAATGAGTAGATATAAAACGAGTTCTTTTTGAATCCCGAATGTTCTATTTCCAATTAAAAGGCGATTTTAAAAATTCATAAAAATTTGAACTGCACCAATATCCCTGGGACCAGGTAATTCGGGATACGAATTCGCTCCGGCAAAAAGAGTAAAGAATAATATGGAGTTGGAAACTCAAATTCTTCAACCAGTTTCCACTTCGCTCTCTTCTCCTTTTTTGCATCGGTCCTGTCGACGGATGTCGGGTCTGTGGCAAACCTGGCTATCAACCAGGAGGGAGGATAACGGGGGGGGGGCCGCCATGGCATGTCATAGAATGGGTAAAGGGGAAACCTGAAAGATGTGGTGTGCATCGCGTCAGCTGGGCGCGTGTGGTAGTGAGCGGCCAAAGTTCTGTCAGCATTTCTAATCGTTGATGTGGAGATCTATGACTCCGGCTTCGACTTCTGAGGACACGCGCGTTCTCTGGCAAGCATGCGATATCGGTCCAAGAGATCGGTTTCCGCCACTCCGGGTTGGTGCTGGAAGTTGAAATGGGCAGCTAGAGCTTCTCCCACAATAGTGACGGCTAGAAAAGGTGTTAGTTTTATTGTTTTGTTTTTTTCTCACATGGAGGGCAGATAATAAGCAATAATCAAGACCTACGCCGACTATACATCTTAGGCAGCTCCATAACAACCATTTCTTCGTCACTTCTTTCCTTTGGCCAGGTATCTATATCGCTGTCGAGTATATCGTCGGCCCAAATAGCAAGGACGTTGATCCTTATTCGCTCATTATCCATGTTCCACGGAAGGTTAAACTTGTACAAGTCAAGCTGATCTTTTTCCAAATTTTCTAAAAACGAATAATGTTGCTGGGCAGCGATGGCCCAGCTTGTATAGGTATCACCCCATACCTCATATTTGAGGTGGGTGACTGGTGTTCGAACGATGGCTTTGTCATCTTTAACACGTAACCATCGATGGCCCTTAGCCGGAGGCGCTGCGTCGAGGGCCCATTCAAACTTCTCCGGGCCTTCCCAGTCCGGATGATCGGAAGGTTTCCATGATTTATTATCGCTGGGCTTTGTGGAGGGTTTGCCATCGAGCAATTCAGGGAAGTAAGGGTGGAGAGCGCCAGCATGGTAATGGATGAAGCTCAAGGGGGGATTGTTGATTATGTTTGCTGACACGGCGAAATCATCGGGATGATTTATTTTTCGATCAACTATTCGAGGAATGGTATCGTCGGCTAACCAGACCTATAGAGGAGGCGAGGAAAGGATTAGAAATATTGCTACCGGCCTGGCGGAATTCCCCTTGGAAGTCAAGGTGTAAAAATAGGTTTCTTCCCACTCACCACATCGTCATCTATTTTAACATATATCTTTCCCCGTTCAAGATGCTTCCAGATTTGTCTGAACTCCGGACCGCGAACCTTTCTCCCAAGGTCTAGCTTTTTGTATCGTCGAGATCTAGCCAGTATTTCATCAAGATACTTTAAATCATCCTCATTTTCGGTATTGACGACCCATAGCACTTCGTCCAGCCAACCCTTGTTGTCAACCAAGTTGCGCTGTTTGCAAGCAGCCGCGCGGTCAGCTAAAAATCCCAAGAATCATGTCACAATTCTAGTTCTCCGCTGGAGAAGTGCTTCATACCTCCACGTAGCAGTGCATCGCCTCGACGCGATCCCGACGACCATAGAACACAAAGCCGCTAATGACAATATTCTCAGGCTTTACGAACTCGGTTGCATTTGCATTCGCATCCCCATGTAGGCGAATAGGATATATCGGCGCTGGTCTAGTTGAATCCTTTTGTACCGAGTTTCGGCCCCTATAGAGGGTGTTCGTAAGGAGGAATACATTGAGGAGCGATAAGGCCACGAGGGCGTACAAGGTGGATCTCTTCTTGAGATTGGATATTATCGATTCACCGTAGCTGGATTTACTGGGGCTGCTGAATGGGGGTATATTAATACTTGTCATTGCTTTGCGTTTGCCCTGGCGTGGGGCTGAAAGTCGGCGGATGAATGAGGACAATGGACACTCATTCGCATCCCCGTACTAGTAGTGGCCAATATTTTGGATAGTTATTTATTTAGACAACGAACGACGTCCTTCTTGGATGCAACTTGCAAATATGAAAAGGTCGAAGGGGCCATGGGCTGCTTAGCGCGACGACAACGGGGCGTATGTACTCCGTACTGTATTTAAATAAATATACCTCGTTTTGGTAATCCTGATTCGCCACCATCAGGCGGAGGAGCAACTCGGAAGAGCTGAGCCTCCAAAACCATAAAGAGTATTTATTCCCCTTTTAGATGTAACTTAGCTTTGTGGCTTATTAACATCGCTCGCTGGAGAAGCCAAAGGTCTCGTCAACATATATTGGAAAAATTCTCTTCCTACGTCCATAATTATTTATTCGGTTTTTCGAAAAGCTTCCTTCGGCCAAGCGAGGTTGTGCGCAGGATGGGATGGGGCTTTCGAATGCATCATGAGAAAACTTCCATTCCTTACTGCGTATAAATATATCCTTTACTTACGATAGCAGCATTTTCCGTGCCTGTGCCTCTGCCGTCAGCCAACGTCCCGTATGTATATCTTAAACCTCAAGTCCTGGGTCATATGTCATATGTACAGTACGTACATGTATGTACAGGACATCTACCTATCCAAAGCAAGGTGCCAAACGAGCTTCTGACGGGAACAAAGGGAAGATCGACGAAATACTCTGTAGATCATACACAAACAAAGCCCGCGGGGTAAAACGTCCAAAGAAACGATAAGATCTGAAAGCAGTGAAGCGCTGAATCTAATTTCAGACATGCCGATGCGTACTCTGTACTCCGTACTCCGTACAGTTAGTTGTTTTATCTGCAGCTTAGCTTTCCTGAATGGGTGATTACCACAAGAATAATAATTATTAATGGCTTCTAGGCGTCAGTTGGCTTTATGTGTGAAGGGTAGAGTAGAGTTGGTAACACCCTTCTGAGTAGTCTGTATGACCATTTTAGACACCCGTTGGAGTTGGACCTCCTCATGCTCCCAAACGAGAAAGCAATTCGAGACCGACAAGAATGAGAAGAGGAGAAATCAAATATTCCTCCTCAGAACACGCTTTGTGTAGAATTGGTAGCAGATCGCAGGGAGGGATACCTTTGATGCTCCTGTATACGGCAAATATCTATTTGAGGTATCAATAAAATCGTAAAAGAAGAAAAATAATGAATCAGGGGAATACGTGTTGGTTGGCTTGTGAATTTGGTGAAAGTGACAATGTTCATCTTCTGCAATCTCCTTCCCTCTCTCCTAGGGCTGTGAAGCATTAATGCTACGACTTTGATATGAGGGATTATAAAGAACTAGAGCAAGACCTGGAGAATTTGAGAAAATAGTGTGCCTTTTAGGTTATTTCACCGATATGGTCCTCATAAAGTGGTAGTGTCGCTAGCTTTCACAGTTGAAATGATAAAAAGCTGAAAAACAATCTCGGGTAATGTTTATGCAGGAATATACTCCGTAGTTACGGACCTACAAGCTATTTCCCCTCTTCCAAAAAAAAAAAAAAAAAAAAAAAAAAAAAAAAAAAAAAAGCCTGCAAATATCATTGGATAGTATATATGTTCATTTGGTACTTAATTATATGTATTTAAGATATTCCCCTGAAAGGAAATGTGATCAGAAATAAGAAAACAGTGTATAAGAAAGAATACAAGTTGCTCCTTCTAGCCGTGTGCTGCTTATCACCTGCATTTTGTTTCGTTGACAAGAGAACCCCTCCAAAGCAAGAAGACATTTGTAAACGGGAAAGGAAAAGGGGTAAAAGATAAATTCAACGGCGCTTGGGAGTGACGAATCTGGCCACCGGACCGATAACAAAAGACGTAGCATCAACCGAACATGCGTGTAGGCTAATCAGTATCCGTGAAGAATATATATTTACGTAGGTACACATTGAACAAAAGCATTGTTAAATGAGAGATATCGTCAAGGGAAACAACAAGCAGGAAAAAGGATGAGGGGGTTAAGAAGAAAGGAAAAGATGGAAAGTGGATGCTAGGAAAAGTATCAGAACGCCAGATATTCACGGGGCAAAAAGAAAAAGAAAAAAAGAGAGAAAAAAAGAAAGGAAAGAGAGAGAGAAAGGAAAAGAAAACAAAACCAGAAGGCAAGGAAAGAACCGCGGAGAGAAAACCGCCATAAAATAAAGGAGAGGAAATGAAAACCTCCAGAGATTCGGAAGCCCAAGCATGTGGGACTCAGAAGAGATAATGTAAAGAGTAACCTTGAACATTAATAATGGGCAGAAAGAAGAGAACAGGACATGAAAATGAAAATGATGGAAAATTACCTTGAAAATGAAATGAAGATGAAAATGAAAATAAACGCCAGTATTGGGCTATGTATGTATCAACTCTAATTCCCTGAGCGGTGGGGTATCGTAGCCGTGTCGTTAAGATAACAAAAGAAAAAAGAGGCAACAGAAAACGTTACCGTTTCACTTGGGGAAAGATTTATTCACCAGAGATCACTTCAAAAAGGGCAATAGGCTTTCAAAAGAAGGGCAAGATAGCCAAAAAATAGGGTATTGGGTCCTGTGTGGTGGGAGCTCGCGGCGATCTCTTATCACCAAGGGCCGACCTTCAGTGGCATACCACTGCCGTAGGTGCCAGAAAGGAGCTGCTGGCGTATCGATGAAGCATCCCCTCCCTGGCTATTGGATAAATCCTGATTACCCATCCAGCCAAGATTGGAACTAAGAGTGTTGACAGCATCCTGGAGTTTCCCTCCTGCCGTCTGGTTATGTTTTGAGAGTTTCTGATCCCATCCGCCATATTGCAGCTGAATGCCGCCACCCCGTTTACCGGCCTCCCGAATAACCAGTATCCATGCTTTAGCCATCTCTTCATAGGCGGCATCCTTTTCTAAATTATGTTGCGGCGTGTCCCATCTGGGCAGTCGATGTATAATTTCGGTGGCGCCGTCAAGGTAGTTTAAGGCTGTCGAGACCTGGGATTCGTTGGGAGGTAAGAAGTGAGGTGTGAAATCACTCAAGGCATCTAGGAGGTTCACAATATGCTGGCGGACACGGTTATATGCGTAATCCGAAGAGGAATTCCCTCCAAGCGGAATAGAGGACTGGAGGGCTGATTGATAGTTGTTTAAAACCTGCAAGGCAGAGCTGACGCTTGGTCGAGGAGCGGTTTGTACAACCTCGCTTGCTAGCTCGGGGTGTCTGTCACACATAGATCGTAAGATGGAGCGAAGAGCGTCGGTATCAAGAGTCTCGAGCAGGCGGGATAAAGCCAACGGACGTCCTGAGATGTTTGGTCTCGATCGTTTTATCTGACGAGGGGCAGGTAAAGTTCTCGGGGAAAATGCTGGAGAGTTTGAAGGAGATGCAGACATTCTAGTGTCATGATCACTTGGGAGGTAATCATCCTCAGCTTTTCTTTTTCGGTTGCCACTAGGATTGGTAGAGGACACTGGCAGGTAACCAGTGGTTAGCATTTTAGATACGACATGTATTGTACTTTTGGAGAGACTAACTAGACCGAGAAGGAGAGAGTCGACAGTGTTCATAGAAGTGTGGAGGAACAGGGGGCGTTGCCAGCAGGCTGTTCATATTGAGCGAAACAGGGCGAGCAAGAGGCAAGACAGGACGCCGGCAAACGAATAGCAAGAGGAGTATTTTTTGGACGACGGGATTGTAGAGAGAAGAGAGATCGTATTATGATGAAGAGAGGCCAGGAGAGGCTAGGAGAGGATGAGGATGAGGATGAGGGAGACGGAGACGGAGAGGGGAGAGTTGCAAAGAGGCAGAAGAAGCAGACGAAGTTGGAGAAACGCCGAACGCTGATGAAGGTGAGGAAAAAAGGAAGGGGGAAAAAGGTTCAAGCGCTGCTGGGAGTTTCTGTCAGTTCAGTGAGTGGGGAGAAAGGCTTTACTGGGCGGTTTGACGGGTATTTTACAGCTCCAGCCAACCACAGGCCAGCAGAGGCTGCGAGCTGTGCGTTTTATTACGCAGCTTTACAAGGCGAAACAGTCCGTCTTAGGTTGCAACGGGCAACGAAAGTCAGACAACTCACGGGATGATACACGGTTATTACGCCGTTTCAATACCTAGGTACACACCAGCTCTTTTTAAACCCTACGCCCAGCCATGTTATGTCCAACCACTCCAACCACTCCTCCCCCTCCCCTTATATATATTTATTAGTAAAATATAAGGATGAAATGGGAAACCTAGAGTGGGCAAAACCAAAAAAAATAGAGACAAAATGGTCGCGATCCGAGCAATACAAAGCCCCCCGTATGAACAAAGCACGGCCTGAACTCCGGACGATGATGTGATGTGATGCTATGTGAGAATTTGTACCTACAGTACCTACGAAGAATATCACATGCAATCGTGACATAAAATATACAAAAAGCAAAAAGAGAAGAAGCGACAAAGATAGCACATATGGAAATAAAGTGCTAGGGAGGGCCGGCTGCAGCTGGTTAGTTCTAGAGGTATAGCGATTGGGCCGCAACGATATCCCGCTTCACCATCTCAAGGGACTTCTCGAACTTCTTCTCTAAGTCTTCGCTGCCCATCACCTTCGCTGCCTGGGCCATCTGTCGCATGCACTCCTCTAGTCGTCGGAATGTGCGGATCAAGCTTCCCTCATAAACATCCGTCATTTTGCTGCGAGAATAAAACAGTTAGCGAGGAAGGAAACAAGAAAAAGAAAAAAAATAAAAAATTAGTGGTCTGGATGTGAAAGGAGTCCAAAATGGAGGGGAATAAAACTTACCAAATTTCCGCAAATGACTTCCCCTTCGCCCATTCATATATGACCTCCATCAACTCCCATCGGAATCCTTTCACATATTCATCTTCGTTGACTGCGAGCTTGGACTCCTGCGACACTTTGGCAATGATCCTCGCCTGGGCTTGGATATCCCTCAGTGGCTTCGCCAGCTCTTCCTTGGATATAGGTGGTGTCTCTTTGGAACTCTCCTCGAAGACAAACACGCTAAGGACTGCGGCACACTGCTCGGGGGTGAGGTTATTAAAAAACCCATTAAAGAGAAGCTCACTAAGCATAAGCTCGTCGCCGCTGCTGATCTCGCATGCGACACGGGCTTTTAGTTGCACAACCTCTGCCTCGTTGATGAACTGGAAGCGGCGAAGTACCCGTTTGCGACATTTTAGCTCGTCTAATTGGATAATCGACATGGCCTCCGTGATCTTCTTTTTTGTTGCTTTTATTTTTGAGCCCAGTTCAGTTTTTGCCGCGTACTGGTCATATAATTCTGGAAGCCGGGGGGAGTTATGGAGTGGATTGGATATTAGACGTGACTCTAATACTTCAATTTTCTGCTCCGGAAATTAGCATATACGCACAAGAAACCGAAAAAGTAAAGCTGCAGTAGTAGTACGTACCCGAAGGAGTTTCTTGAAGGAGTCATCCCTTATGCCCATGTCCTCAATAGGATCCAGAAGGGGAACTCCATCAGGGAATCGCCTTTGTATCTCCACAATGTGTTTGTTAGCCTCGTTCCTCGCGCTGATTGGTTTAAGGTCCTGAGGTAACCGAATCCGAATGTGGGAGATTGACTTTAAGCAACCAATTAGCACGGGAACAACTTCCACCTTGAACTTCCCTCCCGGCCGAGAAGGTCCGATCCCAGGGGGCAGAGGATTTTGACCAGCTTTCGTTGGGGAAGATGAGTCCTCTGCGACTTGTAGCAAGACATCGAGAATAAAGCTTTCATGGGGAGGATATTCTTCATTCGGAGCGTTTCGAGGAGGTTTTCGTTTTTGAGAGTTGACAACAGCACCCCAACCAAAGTCGTGGTCCTTATATTGTATTTGAACAAGCCGCCCGGGTTGCATGTAACGTGCACAGTAGTTTGGAAGGCTGATCACAGTACGCATATCCGAGGTGTATGTGGCGATGTTTTGGCGTAGATCATAGTATTCCCGGATCGTCCCTTCGTCGGCAATTACCATCCCGGCATATTCCTTCTCCAATTCGGCCAGTTCTATTGGTGTTAGTAAAAAGGAAAAAACTTTCCTTCAGAAAGCAAGGAAGTTGAACACATACCCCTTTCCAAACCAGATACACTAGCCGCATTTTGGAATTGATAAAAGCATCGCTCCAACATAAACTCAGGTGAGATCCCCTCCACTCGTAGAAGGTTCAATACCATGTTGTAGCCTAGATAAAAGGCCGAATTAAGTTTGTCTTGCTCTCCACGGACAATTTCCTTCGCAACCGTTGGATCCATTTCTTCATTGATCATCATGATGACAATGCCGCGGTCGTCAAGACCCCTACGTCCAGCACGACCCGACATTTGTACAAACTCAGAGGGCGTAATCCAGCGTTGGCTTACACCGTCGAATTTCCGAACACTTGTGAAAACCACGGTCTTGGCAGGCATGTTTAGACCGATGGAAAACGTTTCTGTAGCGAATAGTACCTTAATCAGTCCTTCCTGGAACAGAATTTCGATGGTCTCCTTGAGGATAGGGAGAAGGCCGGAGTGGTGGACCCCGATCCCGAGACGAAGTAGCGGTAGGATGTGTTTAATTTGTGGTAGCTCCTTGTCCTCATCGGAGAGCATCTCGATCGCACTATTGAACACCTTGCTGACCATTTCTTTCTCTGATTCATCGTTAAATGCCATCTTGCTCATCTGTAATGCAAAAGCCTCGCATTCTCTTTTACTGAAACTGAAAACAATGACCGGGTTGTAATTTTTAAGCATAATCATCTTCACGATCTTGTAGATGTCAGATGGACCTTTATTACCGTCTCCGCCTTTATTTGTCTTTTTGTCTTTTCCTTTACCCTTTCGCTTAGCCATTGCGTTTGCTGGATCATCTCCTTGTTTCTCGGCGATCGTCTCCATCGCCTTATGGAAATTCTCCTCACGGAACACTCCTTTTTCATCAACGACAAGGTGTATTCCATCAGCGCCAGCAGGGAAAAAGTAATGTTGTAGGGGGGTTGGTCGGAAATCAGTGTAGACGACGTGGCACGGCTGGTTGTGCATCTTGGTAATCCATTCTGCAAATTGCATCGCGTTCGGAATTGTTGCGGAGAGGAAAACATATCTAACTTTGTCTGGAAGAAGAATAATGGTTTCTTCCCATACGACACCACGAGCTGCAAAGACGTTAGCACAGCGTAGCCCAACGACGAGTTGCTAACGCAAAATAACTCACTCTTGTCTCGCATATAATGTATCTCATCGAAAATCACCCAAGCCACCTCGCGCATGATTTCTGAACCTCTGTATAACATAGATCGCAAAATCTGTTTGTCGGTTAGCGCCTCCTCTGTAAGCCAGATATATATGAGTTTGTAATTACCTCAGTCGTCATGACAAGACATGTGGCCGTAGGATTTATGGTAACATCGCCAGTCATCAATCCAACATCTCCAAACTCAGCAGCAAATTCCCGGTATTTCTGGTTGCTCAGCGCCTTTATGGGGCTTGTATAGATAACCCTCTGATTATTTTTCAGACTTTGCGCAATAGCATATTCTGCAACCACCGTCTTTCCAGCGCTAGTATGGGCGGAGACTAAAACACTCTCACCCCTCTCGATCGACGCGATTGAGACCTGTTGGAAGGGATCTAGAGTGAAGCTCCATGTCCTTGCGGGCGTTTCTGGTGGTTTGTGTTCGGAAATTGGGACATAGGGGTAATCTGGGGGTAGCGCAACCTGATGCCGAACTTGATGCGATAGAACAACAGCCTTGGTATCCTGCGTTCCTTGGAGACCGGCAGAGCCTGCAATCTCTCGCGACTGTTCAGTTTCGAATGTATCGGCTACAACAGGCTCTGGTTCTGGTTGGAGGCGCTGTCGCTTTGGATCGGGTTGGCCATTTTGCGGCTCGGAGGGCTCCGCTGCGTCCACATCTTCCATCGGGGTATCTGTAATCTCTCCATTCTCTTGGCCGCTCACCGCATTCGGGATATCCTTTACGACTCCATTTGCCTGTCTTTTTCTATTTTTGTCTTTCTTCTTTCGGGGTTTCGAAGGGTCTTGAAGAGGAATTCCAGAGGAAGGTTTATCCTCGAATACGTCGAACAAGTCATCCATGGCAGGCAGACGATACTCTGAAATTTCTTTTGGATCCTCAGACTCTATTCAAATAGAAAGTCCTCGGTCCCTGTCTTTAGTTTTGTGAACATGTAGGGAAAAAAAATACTTGGCCGCCGAAACTTTGATTTTCCACGTTCACTGCTCAAATATCACGTGAATGATAAATTTGCTGAGTCATGCACCGACAATTCCTAGGCTCCATCCGGACATCGAACCATCCGTCGAGTTTCTGAAGAGTTTCCTGTCCATTCGAGATCATCAAGAAACAATTCAGGTCAATTCTACCCCAGCAAGTCTCTTCAAGGTACGGCCAGATCCGTAATTTCATTCGCCTCCAATCACCTACTGACAGAGTGTTCAAGATGCTCGCCCAATCCGCAACCCGAGCCAGAATGGCCAGCACCGTTGCCCGCCGCGGCTTCCACACTACCCGGCCTCAGATGGCCAGCCCTTTCCACTACCCAGAGGGCCCTCGCACCAACCTCCCGTTCAATCCTTTAACCAAACACTTTTTCTGGAGATACTGGGCATTCATGGGTAAATGGAACTCCGTGGGCGTTGTATTTCTTGGGGAGTCTCGTTTCGCTAACAAGTTTCCATAGGTGTGGGTTTCGGGATACCTTTCGGCATTGCTGGTAAGATCATCGCTACGAATTTGTCTTTGCAATGAAATACAGCTGACACAGTGGTTCAATAGCCTGGCAGATCAATAAAACCCAATAAATCTTCCCGGGGTGTATTGTTATTCAGTCTTGTGTGGTAACAAATCTTCTTTGAGGTGGAAATGAGTGAATCATTATTATATTGTACTGTACCAAGCTAGAATTAGTATCAAAACAATCTCCCGTATATAATTGTCATTCTCCAGCTCTATTTTTGCCATGATTTAGGATGCATAAACCGTACGGCATTGTCGCCTGTTGTGTTGAAATTCGTGGGATTAAATACGGGCTTGTTTTCAAGAATTTAAGCCTGTGGATGAAGTCATCGTATGAGAAGTTATTTAGTCCCCTCACCAAAAAGAAAATTTACATATTTTCAAACACCCTACAAACCACATGCGATCCCCACCAACAAACCACTGCTGTATACGAAGAGAATCTACATGGATCATCCTCGAGTTTAAAAATCCAGGTTTTCGAAGGTGTGCGCGGAAAAGGCGCACAATATAAAATGCGCAACCTGAGAAATATCCACCTGAGGGAGCTCCCGCTTGGGAACGAACTGCCTCTAGCTGCGACGGCCTGGGACCCTGCGACGGATTCTATCATATGCGCTTTTGGTCCAACAGAGACGACCGCTGTCATCGAACTAAAAAGAAGGGCGCAGGACGCTGGGCTCGGCGACCTCGAGTTGATCGCATCCTGGGATGCGCCATGCCCGCTCCCGGACCTGCAACATGACCGGATCATATCATTACAATACTTTGCGGATACCCTCGTTACATGTCTTGTACTGGAAGGTGGCGATATTATAGTTGTGCGCGAAGATCCACAACCAGGCGAAGACAAGATTGAGATCGTGGGTTCGGTTGATGTGGGGATCACGGCGGCGGCATGGGCTTTGGATGAAGGACTACTTGCTGTAACCACCAAGGCCGACACATTGCTCTACATGACAAGGGATTTCGAAAATGTGGCCAATATTACATTTACTAGCGAGGATCTCAAGGCCTCAAGACACGTTTCTGTTGGTTGGGGAAAGAAAGAGACGCAATTCCAAGGCAAGAGAGCCAAGGCTCTGCGGGACCCAACGATGCCGGAGAAGATTGACGAGGGAAAATTGAGCGATCTGGATGATAAAAGAGTTTCTATCAGCTGGCGAGGCGATGGGGCGTTCGTTGCTGTTAATAGCATTCAATCAGATGCCCGACGTGTGATCAGAGTGTACTCGCGAGACGGCGTCTTGGACAGTGTGAGTGAGCCAGTGGATGGGCTGGAGGGTTCTCTAAGCTGGCGACCATCCGGAAATTTAATCGCTGGAATACAACGTATGGAGGACAGAGTGGACGTTGTGTTTTTCGAAAGAAATGGGCTTCGACATGGTGAGTTCACGCTACGCGTGAACAAGGAAGACATGCACACCTGGGCATCAAAAATCAGTTTGGCGTGGAATATCGACTCTACCGTTCTGTCTGTCCAGTTCAAGGATAGAATACAGCTCTGGACAATGGGAAATTATCATTATTATCTGAAGCAGGAGATCCCCATCTCTGTTGAAACGGGGTTCGCTACAGCGCTCCTTTGCTTTCGTTGGCATCAAGAAAAGGCATTACGATTTGTTATTGGATCATCTGGTATGTGTCTATCTACGTCGGCCGAAATGATGCACTAAGCTAATCAGATCCATAGATACTTTATTCGACACTGAATACGTCTTTGATGTAGCGAGAGGTTCCACATTGACTCCGAATGATTGTGGAGCGGTGGCCGTGATTGATGGAAGTAAGTTCAATATGTATTTGAAATGAAATCCGTATAAAACCATTTCTAACTTAGCAATAGCATCGCTAAAATTAACGCCGCTAAAACTTTCCAATGTCCCTCCCCCAATGTCTGCTTGTGATATTCTTCTGGAGTCTAATGCTATTGATGTCGCGTTCAGCAAATCCAGCACCCAGTTTGTCGTGCTAACTATGGCTAGAATTTACTTATACAGCTGGGACATCAAAGTCGTCCCCGTAGCAGATCCTGAACTTAAAGCAACCTACCCAATCCTGAATTCATCGTCGAGACCTAGACGGATCACGTTCCTGGAAGAAAAGGAGATCTACGTTTTGAGTCAAAATGGGAATTCCCAGGCAAACGTAGAAAAGACCGACATCGACACGAAGGAAACCACGATCGTTTATCAGTCAATCAATTCAAGCATCCTTTCCTCCATATTCCCAAATCTCCAGCAAAATTCGTTGTGGATATGCCAGGAGGGACTGAGTAGAAAGGCGGGCTCATATATTAAGCTCTCCCCCAATGGAGCCAATGGACTTTTTGCTGAGATTCCACACGAGAGCCCAAGCCAGGAAACCTGCTGGGCATACGCAACTGAGCTTTCAGATGGAGAAGTAGGATTCCTATAAATCAAATTGACTCTTTGAACTCGGCTAACTGTCGTCTAGGAAATTCTATTTTCTCTTTCTAAATCTGGAGCACTTTATGCAAATAAACGACTCCTTGCAAAAAACTGCACTTCCTTCATAATTACTGGGGCTCATCTTATTTTCACTACGACCCAACACTTGCTCAAATTCATTCATATCGCCAAAGTAGATGGTGAGTTTCTATCTTGGAAGTGTCGCTTGATATTATACTTACATAGGGCGTTGACTAGATCTTGACATTCCCGGTGACATCCCCGAAACTGACGAAAGATGCCGAAGTATCGAGCGAGGGGCTCGCCTAGTTTCTGTCATGCCCTCAATATTTGCCGTTACTCTACAGATGCCGCGTGGTAATACGGAGACTATTTATCCACGTGCGCTTGTTCTTGCTGGAATTCGTAGGTATATCGACAACAAAAAGTATCGTGCCGCATATCTTGCATGCAGAAGCCATATGGTGGATATGAATATTCTTCACGATTATTCTCCCTCCCAGTTCATGGCCAACGTGCCGTTGTTCATCGACCAGGTGAAGAAGGTTGAATATATCGACGAATTTCTCTCTCGATTAAGGTAAGGCTACACGTGTCCAATATCTCTCCGGGTGTATGTTGACTGGCATTTACAGAGACGAGGATGTTTCTGAGACATTATATAAAAATACCCTCAAGATAGCTGTACCTGATGTGGCTGTCTCTGATGAGCTCAATGGTGTGATACCTGGAGATGCTACGAAAACAACTCCAAAGGATAACAAGGTCAACCGAATTTGCGATGCATTCTTATCCGTGCTTAACAGTCGAATCGACACCAACCTCCAAAATCTTGTCACCGCTCATGTGTGCAAATCCCCCCCTGACCTAGATTCTGGGCTTCAACTTGTCGCAAAGCTACGGGGTAAACTGCCCCCCTGTTGTCTCAGATCAAACTATTAAGCTAACATAATTACAGAACAAAGTACGGAGCAAGCAGAGGAAGCTGTTGAACATATGTGTTTCCTCACCGATGCATATAGGCTCTATGACCATGCCCTAGGGTTATATGACCTAGAGCTTACGTTGATGGTTGCGCAGCAAGCTCAGAAAGTAAGGTTTACACCTCGATAGATATCCATGAAGGATAGACGCATTGCTAATTCGTCACAGGATCCTCGAGAGTATCTCCCTTTCCTTCAGAAGCTGCAGGCAATGCCAGAGCTTCGCCGTCAGTATGAAATCGACAACCACCTAGGACGAGTGCGAAAAGCAATCAAAACCTTACATGCTCTTCATGCTTATGAGGAGCTCAAACTTTACGCTATCAAACATTCATTATACAACGATGCCTTGGAACTATACAAGTACCAGCCTGAACTGCTTCGGGATATGTCACAGTTATACGCTGACTATCTATACGATCAATCCAATTACAAAGAAGCTGCCATCAGTACGTCTACCTCCTTTTACCTCAAAGAATTACCACCTCCAGGATAAACATAATGAACTAACCAAACCAAAGTCTATGAATCGCTTTCCTTTTATGAACCCGCCTACCAATCCTACCAGCTCGCACACCAATGGCGTGAATGTATTTATTGTGCTAGTCTCGTCCCCCTCCCAGAAACACAAATGAACTCCCTCCTCCACTCCCTCGCCACAACCCTCACAACCGAAACAAAGGACTACATATCCGCTGCCCACATCCACGCTGAACACCTCCAAGACATCCCAACTGCTGCACAATTACTTTGCCGCGGCAATCAATTCGGTGATGCCTGCCGTCTCCTCGTACTTCGCGGCAAACAATCCCTCGTCGGCGAAGTCGTTGATTCAGCCCTGGGAGACGCGATGGGCAGCATGATTGATCTGCTCGCCGACTGCAAGGCGCAGCTCAATGCACAGGTACCCAGGATCCAGGAATTGCGCGTCCGCCGTGCCACCGATCCGTTGGGTTTCTATGGCGGTGATCCGGCTGCTGGCTTGGGTGAAGGCGGCATCGATATTCCCGATAATGTCTCGCTAGCGCCTACAGACGCGACCACAATGGCGGGCCGAAGTATGTTCACGCGGTATACGGGGAATACGTCCTCGTCTCGGAAAACGAGCAAGACGAGGCGGCGTGAGGAGCGCAAGCGCGCACGCGGGAAGAAAGGGACTGTCTACGAAGAGGAATATTTGGTGAATAGTGTACGACGGCTTATTGAAAGAGTAAATAGCGCCATTGATGAGGGGGAGGGGCTCATTCAAGCGCTGTTGAGGAGGGGAATGAGGGAACGAGCGGGGTTGGTGCAACATCATTTGGATGAGGTTTTGGGAATGTGCAGGGATTGCTTGGATGATGTGTTTGAAGTACCGAAGGAAATGGGTCTTGGTGTTAACGGTGCTGATGCAGGCAAGAGTGAGGACGGTGGTCTAGGAGGGGAACGGCCACCTGGTGGTGATGGTGTATTCTGGGATAGCTTGCAACAGACTATTGGTGGGAAGGGGAGGGAGCCACCTGTCGTCAAAGCGTTCAAGAAATTGGCTATTCTGGGTGGATGAGTTGAGTTGCGTGTTCGCTGTGGTTTGATTGATTGTTCTGCTTCAATTTCCACGTTGGAGTGATTCTGTCTGTTTAAAAAGGAAATGGGAAGATATGGAAAAGCAAAACACTCCTAGTTACAAAGATAATGAATTTGGAAGTTGTTCAATGCAATACGATATATTGATGCTATAAAACTCCAATTTCTGAAATTTTCGATGCGCCCGCTTTCATTCTCCGGGATGCAAGGGGTATCATGGCCGAGAAATGGTTTCTATTCCAATGACTCCTGGTTTCTTCCTCTTGGTAGACTGGTATTCGCCTAGTTGGGACTTCCTTTCAAAATTTCCCCAGTTTCGCTGACAAGGTGTTGGTCTGCTTTTAATGGCCCTTCGCCGACACCAGTCAGGATAACGGTATTAATACCATCTCTCAGCTCAGCAACAGCTCTCGGGTCCAAATTCTCCACAAGAATCCCAGACTTTATGTGCTTGACAGCATCACCATACACGCCATCCCAGCCCTTAGTCTCAGGCTTCAAAATCGACCTGAATGTCCCAATGACACGCTCCGATTCGTTATTTAAGTAGTATATAACCGCATTTGGACCGGCATCGAACGTGTAAGCGCAAATAGTCTCGCCAGCGGCACGGTTGATATCATGGACCAGTCTGATGGCAGCACGGGAAACATCATTAAGGTAAAAAGTGGGTGGCCAGGTATCAAGATTGGTGGCATGGAAGTTGTTGCTGTCTTTCATGGTGATTTCAGCAAAGGAAGGGAAATCCCGGTTTTTAATCGCAGTCTCGATCGCGACCATGCGTGCAGGCACCACAGTTTCCGCACGGGTTGCGAAGAGAGTGGAGGTCGCAACTGTCGCTTGCATTCCTAGTGTACTAGGAACATCCTTCTTCACATCGCTCACGACGAGGATAAGGGCGCGCATCTCAGGCCAGTGGCTCGCTGGGGCCACCTCTTCTGCCAGGCTATCGGTTCCGTCCTCCAAGACCCCTGTGCGCCATGCGACATAACCACCCATCATAGAGCGACATGCGGAACCAGACCCCTGGCGTGCAATGCGACTGAGATCGCTAGGTGATTGAGGCAGTTCATAGAGGTTGGCAACAGCGCGAACCAGCGCAGCGAAGCCAGCAGCGGAGCTAGCGAGACCAGCAGCGGTGGGGAAGTTATTCTCTGATACAATCCGGAGAGGGAAAGTTGAGAGTTTGGGTAGAGATGGGTTTGCATTCTCTAGTTCTTGACGGAGACTGCGTAAATCCGACAGACAAGCAAGCGTTCTCTTTGAATCTTTTATGCTATGCGGTTGCGAGTTGAGGGTCAAAGAATCCTCGGCGGGGTAGGTGGGGGAACACGATGCGGTGGTGTATGCACGTAAAGAACTCTGTGATAGGGTCACAGAGAGTGAAGAATTTGTGGGAAGGTTAAGGATAGCATCCCGTTTTCCCCAGTATCTGCAAAGAAATTATCATTAGCAATTGTATACAAAATGAGGGGTAAAGGTGGGAAGTTGGAATTACTTGATAACGGCAATGTTAACAGGAGCCGTGGCGCTTGCGCGGTAAACCTCAGTGGAACCAGCCATCTTTATTCTTCACAGAAGGTTAATTATAATAGCTATGCAGGGAAATGCTTCAGTGGTAGATGGGGCCCTGAGAAGAGAGTTGTGGTGAAAGTGATCGTGTTCTTGGTACTAGCAGAATCCTTACATGGCGGTGAAAATGGAGGGACAGCTTGAGGCTCTGCGGGCGACTCCAAACCTTAAATTTTATCATATCAAATCTCTCTCGCCAAACTTCATCCTAGAACGCTGGACACTGGACACTACAGAGTGCTACCTTGCAGTCTACGAACGGCATTCTGATATATGAGGTGCCAATCTCGGCAACTAGTTTTGCAAACATTTTCTGAAACCAATTCGCCGTTCTCCGCGTGATTTTGTAATCCCGTTGACTGCTACGGCCTTCACCTTTTAACCATGGGGGCCAATGCAAGTACTGCAAATCCTCCACCTCCGCTTACAGCGACTTCTACTCCCTCCACTGGTCCTACCAAAGATGATGGCCCACAAGCTACATGCCCTGTAGACCACAAAACTCGCGCTGTGTGGCTTTCACAACATCAAAACTCCGATTCTCCCCATCCAATGACCCCGACCGACATAGTTACAAAACAAACAGACACCACAAAACCCAAAAAACAACGTAGACCTCTATCCCAGGAGCGGGAAGTAAGCAGCATCCCCCGAGCAATCCCAGATACGTCCACAGCTGCTACGCCTTCCACGTCCGCCGCTCCACCTCCCTCCCCATATGAAGCCCAAGCCTCAACCACAGCCTCACACATCCGCCCTTCAAACGACGAAGCCGAAACAGGCCATGACTCCCGCACGGGCAATTGGATTTATCCATCAGAGCGCCAATTCTTCGAGGCCCTCCTGCGCAAAAATACACCCACATCCGCCACCTCCGCGACGGACCTAGCCACCTCCGTCGCCTCAATCATCCCCATCCACAACGCAGTGAACGAGCGTGCGTGGTCTGAGATCCTAGAATGGGAGTCATCGGCACCACTTTCCGATCCTGGCAGTCGGAAATGTGGAGGCCCGAAATTGTACTCGTTCCGTGGATTGGGTGTCGATAGCCAATTTCTAAGTCCAAGGGCGAGGATCAATGGCTTGTTAGGGTATCAACGGCCTTTCGATAGGCATGATTGGGTTGTGGAGAGATGTGGTGGAGCTAGGGTTGAATATGTGATTGATTTTTATCAGGGAAGAGCTGGCGGGGCGGGATTGGGGACTGCTGCAAATAATGCGAAGTTGAACTTTTATTTGGACGTACGGCCGAAGCTGAATTCTTGGGAAGGATGGAGAATGAGGGCCAGTCGCCTGGTTGGATTGGGCTGACGATATATATGTATTATGTTTTACTCTTTTATCAATAGGAGGGTGGTAGACGTGTCTTTCTTTTGTTGTGGAAGGCTGATTGTAAGATGCGTGTGTATACAGGAGACTCTTATATATGTATGTACGATAGTAACGTTGGCAATGGGAAGCTAGTCAGGATGGCCGGAAACTCCCCAAAAAATTAAAACAATAAAAATATAAATAAACATCCGAGCCCTCCTTGAAACAGAATGAAGCAGGAAACAATGGATTGACATATTTGGGAATCATAAACGCATATGAGATACTGACGAAGAAAAGGGCCTGTTAACAAAAAATCATACGGACAATATAGCAATAATAAGAACAGTTACAGAAAAGTACAATTCGAAACAGCAACACATGTTCTTTAGTTGTTTAAGCCAACGTAGCAGCCAGGACGATAATGACCAAGACGACAGCCAGAATCAAAAGGAGGCAGCAAGCCTTGTTGCGCGCATTCTTCTGGTACCTACTGGCACTTCTTAGCTCGGTATCAGCAACTCGGGTATCATCTATCGTCCGATCCACATTTTCACTAATGAGATCCAGTTGTCCCCCTTGTTCATGGACTATATGCGCTACATCTCGGAAAAGCTCATTAAGTTCGCCAACACTCTGCTCGATATTCCGTATCTCCGCTTCGCGTTCTATAATCAGGGTCTCTTGGAAGTCGACTTCGGCTTGCGATGCGAGGCGGGGTTGCTGTTCCTGGAGTTGCTGAAGGGTCTGGCCATCGCGCGGTGAAGTTGGAATGACACCCTCTTCCTCCTGGAGGGCGGTGCGTGCAGCAGTTGCGGAAGCTCGCTGCTTCTCTATTGCACGGCGCTGGGCAATTTGGAACTCTTCTAGGGTGGATCTAAATTCTGAGGAAAGCTTTTGCTGTGTCCATTTTTGGGAGGGCTGTCATAAGGTAAGGTTAATTGTTAGTCCAGGTACTGCGGAGAGATTGAAAGGAGCCTGCCGCTTCAACGCATAAGATCATTGCGAGAAAGGCACAGTTGCTACTAACATTGACATCATCCCATAGTTGAACTTTCTTGATGCCTTCACCAACTTCCCGGAAACCCTCCCGAGTCTCCTCTAATAGATCATGTACCCGCTCACGGACCCGTTCAGTATCACGTTTGGTGCCTAGCAAGGAGATCTGGTTCGACAAGCGCGAGATATTAGAAGTCAAAGTAAACAGACGATTCGACAATGACTCTGTCAACCGCTGAAAATCCGGATCATCTTGATACTGCGAATCGTTGGATCTGGTTGGCTGCGCTTCTAAAGATGAGAGGCGGTCGAAGGACATGGCGGGATTATTCAAGCTTAGCAAAACAAAATTAAAAGTGATGGAAAAGACACAGTGCACAACTTCCACCGCTGAGTGTAGGTCAAGAGAAAACGAGTGATAGAAGCTGTATTCCTAGGGAATGGTGTTGCCGCGATCGCCCGTGTGTTTTGCCGAGTGGTGATGCTGCCTTTGCATCGTCCCGAGCGACGATGATGTCGTTCCAAGCGGGCTGGCGTATCACAGGCGGCTGGGCGATTATGTAATTCTTTTCGTGCCCGGTGGCGCTAAATATAGTATGACGCTAAGTCGTAAACAGATATATATGTGGCTGGTGTATGTTTGACCGCGCATCTGTGGCTTGACTTTGTTTTGCTGTGGGAAAACAGTTCGGGATAGCCTCAAAAAAAAAGTGATTTGCTTTCCTCACCTCGCCTCCCATACATATTTACGGCTCTTCGCAAAGGGAGTTAAATAATATATTACCCAGCCTGCCACCAACAAGCTGGCGAATCTACCCAGCTCTCCAGCAATGCACTAAGCTCCTGGACTTATTTCTGGCTGACCACCTCGTTCGGCCATGGCAACCACACCCTCCAGGGCGCCTGCGGCCCGTCCAAGGCAGTACAGGCGGATATTAACCTCGACCCTACATCGAAAATTTGTGCATGCGTCGGCGGTTTCTTTGGTTGCTTGTTATGTTGTGGCTTTCTTTATTGGCGTTAAATCTTCCTGTGAGTTTTGTTTGCTACCTCTCAACTCTGCGTAAGAGAGGGCTAACAGTGAGTTTCCTACTAGTCTTCTGGTCATGGTTTCCATTGGGCGCCTGCGGGTTCCGGACATTACTCCTTTTTATCTCATGCCTTGCTATTTTCATCCTCCGTGTTGGTCAGATGCACGTAGGAGCCCGGACTACAAGTTCTGCTTTCAGCTCAACGAGACAGGCCCTTTTTTCGTTCTCCACTTTCCAAACCTTTGGCTGGTATCTAGTATCTGCATGGTGGTTTAGTGAGGTATATATGTGGTCATCATCAGAAAGCGCAGAGCTCAACTGGGTAAAGCCGGGAAGGTCAGTTCGTTCTCTGTTACTGGAGAAGTCTTTCTATCGGAATGCTGAAAGTTGCTCTCATATCTAGGCCATATGAACGAGCAAAGCTCAATGAGAGACCGATATATCTCCATTGCTTCTACGCCCTTCTTGCCATCACACAATCAATATTTCACCTTTATTTTGACTGGGATAAGATTCACATTCCCGTATCGAAGCGAAGCGCAAATTCCGCAAACCATAGTACGCATGAGCTTGAGCCGCTACCTGTCAGGATCCGGAAGGCCGTACCCCAGGTACTCTACGATGCTGTAATTAGAAGCTCCGTTACAGCTGTTGTAGGGCCATTCATCTATATGCTCTTCCTTAGACGCATCGCCTGGAGCTGGGTCCTTTCATTTGCAAAACTTTTCTGGAATTTCCCCCCGCTCCGCTGCCGATCCTCCGGGCTTGATTCCACCATTGCACATCCTGCTAATGCTTCGCGCTGCTACATCAGGCGTGCTACTTGTGACACTTTGGCAGGTGTCCAATCTCTTATTTTCAACGTTTTTGGGCCAGGCACCCTTGAAAAAGGGCCAGCCACTGACGAATGAATCCAAAGACCCGAATGGCAGTCTAATAAACGGGCTGAAGGCGAAAAGGGATGTCGTTCGAACATTCGCTTTCTGGGAACTGTGCTTAATCGGCCAGCAATTTCCGGAGCGCCGGAAAGCAATCTTTGCCGACATCGACCGCAACGGAGGATCAGCATGGACCCAGATTCTCGGCGCGTCGACCAATGTTATTAAGGGAATAACTGCTCGGATAAATGAACACCAAAACCCAACAACACTGCCGGCCGCAGACTCCTCTACAGTATCTGGGAAGACCTCGGATAGTAGCAACATGGATGGACAACCAACCACTATTCACACCCTACCTCGCTTAACCTCCGCTCCAAAGGGAGACAACATCTTCCTCGCCTCGTCCAAACCCACCACCCGCCCCGAACAATTCGAATCAGCTTTCGGCTCCGTAGCTAAATCATACGGCCAATCCCCAAACTGGACGCCAGCCGCCCGCAACCAAGCCCGTAACATCTTTAACCGCGCAACCACCGCCGTCCTCAGCCCGGAGCAAAGGAAACGCATATCCGCCTCAGCCCAGGAGCTCAAACTCCTCACATGCTCTTCCTCCTCTTCATCTAGTTCAGGTAGACCCCGCACACACCCCCTAATCCACCAATTCCTCAGCTCCCTCGCGGGCTTACCATTCCGCCGATCCTACACACGACGACTCCGCATTATCATCCTCGGCAAGCCATACGCCAGCCTGTCCCCGATCATCGATGCGGTAGAGTCTCTCACCCGCCTCCTCATCGCGAGTATGGCAGAGGATCAGTTCGGGAAAGTGCAGGCGGACATTGCCGCTGTTGTGCGCCTGTTTACGGAGACTGCGATGGCTCTAGAGTCCTTTACTGGCGCTGGTGAGGGGGGGTTGGATGTCCATTGGACGGATGTTGACTTTCCTCCTGCGGATGCGGAAATGGAGATACAGAAGAAGGCGAGGAGGGTGGAGGAGGTGGAGATGATTAAGGAGGCGTTGAAGGGGGGATTGGCGGAGCTTTTGGAGGCATTTAAGTTGTATTTGGATGATGTGGGGATTCGGGGGAAGGAATTGAGGATGGCCCGGGAGGCGGCCGGGTTGGTTTGAGATTGACATTTGCTTTCTTCGTCTTTTACTTTTTTTTTTCCCCTCTCTTGTTTATTTATGTGTTTGTAATTCTATTACAAATTTTTTGTTTTTGAAAAACATGAATGATTCCCCAGAAGTTCGGATACCATCCAACATCTTCACAATCCACAAGCATGATGTCGACTGATCGTTTTCCTTGGTCATCTTGGCCGGCTCTCTGCAACCACAATGTTCTTCATCTGCACATCCCCGCATATGTTGTGGTTTTATAATCTGAGAGAGACATCCACATTCAATTAAGGCTTGGCAATTGCTTGCGAGCCCTTAAACAAAGGCTCCTTCACCAGAGAAACCACTGCCCAAGCTTCCAAAAAAGTTCAGGCCATGGACACGCAGCCTGTTACATAGAATCGAATGCTCGACGGAGTTTGGCAACAATGCCATCTTTCTCAGCCTCAGTCAACGCTGCTCAAATAGAGTTACGTGGCACAACACCCCTGGAGCACGCACGCTGCATGGCCAGGAACAGCTGGCCAGAATTGCATACAGGCGCGCAGGAACTTTAAGGAACATGTCATTTATTCAAGACAAATTTCAAGACAAATTACAGCCTATATATATCCTTCGTCCGCGCCCAAGCTGGTGCCAGACTTGACAGTAACAGCCATATTCTCATCTACCGCTACAAATCTTGGAGCCAAAGTCGAAGCGGGTCCCGTATAATATTGGGGTACGACCCGTGTTTCGGCTAGAGTTGGTGGAGGGGGTACAGGCGGCGATAAGGAGTCGTTCTTGAAAAGGAGAGCAACTGGTTCCCACATCGTGACTGAAGAAGAATCGACGGCCGGGAGAAATTGGGTAACGAGGAAGCTCTCTGCGCCTGTAAGGAGAGGAACATGACATGCTTTAATGTGAACAGATGGAGGAGGTTAAGAGGGTGAAGAAGAAGTGTGGTTGCTTTGTATAAGCAGTGGGTGTTTGCCGGATAGGGGGTTGGAATTAAACTCTGAATATTTAACTAAGAAAGTTAGCTGACCTAAATATAAGAAAACTTCGCTTTTTATTTACTCTTCCTCAGTTTTTTTCACCCCACATATCTACAAATCGTCAATTAGTCCATATTACTCACTATATAAACAGTATAAGAAAATTGTTTTGAACTGGCCTTTTTCTCTCTTTTATATTCCCCCTAGGGGCTTTTGCCCTCCATTTTTCAAACGCCAGGTATAATAACAATAACAGTAGTAAGTAAAAAACTGCATGCCACGCTATGCTATGTTCTGTCACATTTATGCCCTCATCTAGTTAAATTAAAAATTAGTTAGTGAATTGTGAATGGAGAGAAAACAAGAAAGGAAAATTGTTCGACAGACAGCAGAGAGATGGGAAATGATGAAAAGAACCTAAAGGAGAGGAGAGAAATATTAAAACAGATATAGTTGAAGCTAGAAAGTAATACAGGGAAGTGAATGGTTTGGTGAATAGAAAAGAGCAATAATAGAAGAAGGGATAATGCCACCATAGGAAAGAGATGATGATCAGTAGAGATAAACATTGACCAGCCAAGGAGATACAATTTAGCGAATGTGTTGAGGAAAGTGGCTGAAATGTATACTCGATGATAAGCGGTAGATGACGCAACGCGTGCGTGTCCCGATAGCACAAGTACATTAATATGAAAAGTTCAAATCATGAAATATATTTATCGCGGGTTTATTTCCGTTCCGGAATGAAAAATAAAAATTTTGAGAGAAATGCCTCAGGGAAGGCAAAAAAAAAAAAAAAAAAAAAAAAAAAAAAAGGAAAGTAGAAACGAAACAAAGTCCGCAGCTGCCAAAGCGCGGTAAATTCGATCTCTGCGAACCGCCCATCCTTTAACGCCCCGGGTTTTCAATGTCGAGTTTATTTTAGTTTACTTCATATTCTGTACCGCAGTCTCGCGGCCCCATTTTCCGCATCCGTACCTTACCCCGGAACCCAAGCCGAACTGTCTATAATAATCCCGGTAGTGATGAAATGAATGAATCAAGAAAACAAAACGCCGTGGGTTTTATTGGTGTGATGGTCCTTATCCGGAAACGCCCTGCTATCGAATGGAAAAATGGACTCTGTCCATGGAAAAAGGCGAATTGTTCGTAAGATATTAACATCCTCCATACCGCCGGAGATGGGTGATTTGAAGGAAGTAATATAAATCCGTGCATATTTCAGATGGAGTTGATCCTGTGGAGCTCCTCTAAACTTGTATTGAAGTGGCTAGGAGGCGCACTCTCAGCCTTTGGAATTTGATCTTCGTCATGGCTGATTTGCGATATTTCGCGCCTGTCTTTCCCGATGTTGTCGACTGGAATAATTGTTGGAAGCCATTTCCGAGCACCCACTTTCTCAACAAGGTCAGAGAGGGAATTTGGGTCGAACCCCTCAATGTAATTTCGGTCCAGTACACGTGACTTAGGTGTAGAGTGTTTCTGGTATTCCTGGAGGGCAGCCATGAGAGACCACCCTTGAACTCTGCGAAAGCAGGCGATAACGCATCCGGTTCGGTGCTGAGGGAATGAGATTAGAAGGCCGTAATCATTTTTTATTCATTTTTTATTTTTATTTATTTTTATTTTATTTTTATTTATTTTTATTTTTATATTTTTTTTTAACAATATTTCTTAGGGGACCGCAGATTGCTTACCTTGCCTTTGTTGCAGTGAATTAACACAGGATGATTCATTGGGTTCAAAATAAGCATTAGCACTTCAATAACAGTCTCGTATGGAGTGAAGACCAGTGGGTTTTTGTTCGCCAAAATCGGGATGACATAGGATTTAATTCCATTTTCTTGGATGAATTCACCATAGTCGCGAGACCACTCTTCATCAACTAGAGTTCTATTCGATAGTAAGCACATGGCCGTTGTTCGCGGCAGAACAATGACTACAAAAAGGAAACTTACATAATGGTCTTAAGATTAAGCCGGGAAATAGAGTCGAGATGCACTGGTAGAGGAAAACTGCTTCTGTATACGCCTTTGACGACTTCAGCGAAGTTTTCTGGTAGTCCAGCTCCATGTGGCGTGGGTGGGCGGCTTGGTCCGCTTTCGAAGCCACTAGCGAGGTATCCATTTTCTCCTGTTACAGAGCATTTTGTGTTAGCAAAAATAACCAACCAACGTATGGTGTTGGCGGCTCATCAAAGTGAGACTAGCCATAAACTATACCTATCACAC